CCATACAGAAGACAGCTATTGACAGCGCAACATCGTCTTCTGCGATTGAGATGGGCCCGGACTGTACGACGTTGGCAACGACGTGACTGGCAGAGGGTTGTCTTACTGACAAAAGTCGATTCTGTATGTTTAGGGCTGATGGAAGACAACTTGTTTACCGCCGAAGGGGTGAACGAACGGCGGTGTGTTGTGTGCAGGAGGTCGTACCATATGATGGAGGGAGTGTCATGGTGTGGGGGGGGATCTGTGGGCAGGAGAGGTCACCGCTGGTCATCGTTGACGGAAACAGCTCAACGTTACATGGATAACATTCTTCGTCCAGTTGTCCTACCATTTCTCCAACAGCAGCCACGTGGTGTCATTTATCAGCATGACAACGCTAGAGCCCATACAGCCAGAATTGTCACTAACTTCCTCGCAGCCAACAACGTCATCGTCCTGCCGTGGCCTGCACGCTCACCCAACATGTCCCCCATAGAACACCTCTGGGACTTGATGGATCGTCGTGTTCGACAACGACCACACTCTCCAGCCAACCGGCAAGAACTGATCTTGGCCCTCCAAGAAGAATGGCGTTGAATCCCACGTGACCTCATCAGACGACTGACTTTTTCTGTGCGGCTAAGAGTTTTTGCATGTATTGAGGCATTTGGTGGTCACACACGCTACTAATGACTTGTTATTGAACGTGTTTATGTACTCTGCCTATTGTCCATGATTCTGAAAGCTCAAGTTTTGTACCACACCCAACTTAGGGGGGCTCTGACGTCATTCTCGGTCGCGGTATGATTGTCATTTTCAGTGTTGATTATGTTGATATATTGATCTTCTCAATACACTTTACTTTATGCATGTATGCTTTGTTGTTTTTGAGCAAGAGTGATTTCAAACTCTGGTAGAGTTTCTTTTGGACATCAGTTTATATATGAACATTCAATGTCAGCTACTGATTTAACTGATACTTGGAGGCTGAAATATTAGAAATAAAATTATGCTTTTCAAAACTTTTATAATATATGTGAGATTCTCTTCACAACAAAGAAATCCATACAAAGCTTAAGGCGTCACTGATAAGATATGATCTATTTGTTGTGAATAAAGTGATCAGAATCATCATTGGAATCTCCTCCCCCACCCCCCACCCCCAGACTGTCCTACAGATGGCAATGAATTAACATCTTGCCCACATGTTTCAATCAGATATTGTAAAACAAATTGAAAATTGATAGAAACAGCTCTTTGATTGAGCTGAGATTAACTTGTGCTATGTCACATGACTTTCATTGACTTGGAAAGAGTGTGCATCTTTTTACATCAAAGCAGGGTATAAGTTATTTGTTCTGCCTCTCAGAAATCCATGTGCAGCCTGACTTTTGGGGGGGGGGGGTGTATAGGAGAGTTAATCACCCGCTAGGTGTGATACATAGTACTTTGTCAAGATCACATGAACCAATCAGATATCAACATTCTGACATGGAGGTATGATTAGGTATTTTATCAGAATAACGTAAACCAATCAGATCTCAACATTCTGGCATGGACTTATGATTAAGTATTTTATCAAGATAACGTGAACCAATCAGATCTCAACATTCTGACATGGATGTATGATTAAGTATTTTATCAAGATAACGTGAACCAATCAGATCTCAACATTCTGACATGGAGTTATGATTAAGTATTTTATCAAGATCACCTGAACCAATCAGATCTCAACATTCTGACATGGAGTTATGATTAAGTATTTTATCAAGATAACGTAAACCAATCAGATCTCAACATTCTGACATGGAGTTATGATTAAGTATTTATCAAGATCACGTGAACCAATCAGATCTCAACATTCTGACATGGAGTTATGATTAAGTATTTTATCAAGATAACGTGGACCAATCAGATCTCAACATTCTGACATGGAGGTATGATTAAGTAATTATCAAGATCACGTGAACCAATCAGATCTCAACATTCTGACATGGAGTTATGATTAAGTATTTATCAAGATCACGTGAACCAATCAGATCTCAACTTTCTGATGTGGAGGTAAGATAAACTGATGGGCTATTGACACATGTAACTGAAAATACAAGGACCTTGCTTCACACCTGGACACTAAGTTTGTGAACACAGCATATTAAAGTTCTAGCCAAATTGGTCTAAATTAGGTTAAAGATCAAATGATATTGACCTTGACACAGGACTTTCAGTTTTCAAGTCAAATTGACCAAATGAGTGAATGACGTTGAAAGGCTTGGTAATATTAATTTGGATAGCCTGAATTGATGAGCGATATGGATCTCAACCAGTTTCAATTAACATTTGAGTTTGAGAATAACCTACACGGAACTACAGATTAACTGTCCCAGGTGAGTAAAGTTGTAAGTTCCAAGTCTTGTAGATGAACTTTCAACATCAATTCCTGTGGGACTTATAAGCAGTACTCCCAAGATGCAAGTAGGTTATTCTGGATATCACCCATAGCCGGTTTCTCTACTAAAATGTAGAAACATTGGTGTTTCCTAATCTCAGACGGAGACATCAGCTCAGTTACTCTCTAAAACCGTCATGAACAGTGGATAATGTCATTTTCAATTAATTGCTTTGGGACTCTTTGCAAGCAGTGAAAACAATGGGGCAATTGTTACAATGCTCAGGGGGAATTACTGAAAATATTTTCACATAAGCATGTGCCTTTATTGGTAATGTACTGTGAATGTCATATAATTGCAGAAGTGAACACAATGACATAGAGGTGACAGCTGGGTTCATCACTATGAATGAGTGAACAGTATTTCAGTGATATATGTCTACTTGGTGTGGTAGCAAAGTGATGCAGGTCTTAGACATTAGCACTCGGTTGAACCAACTGTGACAGGTGTTTTGCTGGAAAAAAACTAAAATTATGAACAGAGCAAATCTGTCATACAAACCAACCATTTTCAGACTGTGGCCATCTGAAGGGCACGACAGTGCAGTGGCTGAGGTGCCCTCATAGCATGGAGCAACTCCCAGCAGATAACCAGGTGGTAATTGATGCCTTCAATATGAAATCAGCCCACCAAATGATGGAGAATTTGTTGCTTTGATGGCCTTAAAAAGCCTTTTGCTGTCTTCAGCTTCTCACCTGGAACTTTGGGCTGCTAATCCCACAAGATTGTCATGACTTGTTAGAGCAACGGGACAACCTGTGGATACTTGGAGAATTGATTGATGAAAAGGAGACTGTGATTGCCAGACGGAGGTTAGGGAAACAAGAGTCTTCTGTCTGAATCAGTACACCATTATCTTCACTGCATCTTGATACTGTGTCTCATCAGGGAAATCACTTTGTTCCTTTTCTGTTGCTTGTAAATGTTACACTCATCACGTCAGGCTGTGATAAGGTGAGGTTCCTCAGTCTAATTTGAAGCCAGTTCAATCCAACATGGAAGAGTCCAATGTAAAAGTGCTTTATGTTGATAAAGGGAATTATTTCCCATGCTGTACATAACAATACATCCTTGTTGGGCAGATTAGATCCCTACTTTCCCATGCTTCTCCTAACAATACATCCTTCTTGGGCAGATTAGATCCCCACTTTCCCACGCTGTACATAACAATACATCCTTCTTGGGCAGATTAGATCCCCACTTTCCCACGCTGTACATAACAATACATCCTTGTTGGGCAGATTAGATCCCCACTTTCCCACGCTGTACATAACAATACATCCTTGTTGGGCAGATTAGATCCCCACTTTCCCATGCTGCACATAACAATACATCCTTGTTGGGCAGATTAGATCCCCACTTTCCCATGCTGCACATAACAATACATCCTTGTTGGGCAGGTTAGATCCCCACTTTCCCACGAGGTCGTGGGGATAGAAGATGACTTGTTTCTCCCCTATCAAAGCATCCAAGATCCTATCGAACTAGTTTTGTCTACGGATTACAATACACGACTTCCGCCATTCAACATAACGCTGTCTCAAGTGGGAGGGCGTCTTTTGTCATAAATTTTGCCGAAAATTGGACGCACATTACGACAGACCACTTGATTTTAGACGTTATCCATCATGGGTAAAAGCTACATTTTTTCAAGAGCCCTCAACTTGCATCTCGTCCTGATGCACTGAAAGGTGCCAAACTGCACACAGCCAACCTTACCATCAAGACCGTTCTCACCAAACAGGCAATTTGGAGATTGTGCGATACCAATAAAACTCAGGGGTTCTACTCCCCAGTGTTTTTAGTTCCGAAAAAGAACTCAATAGAGATGAGAATGATCATAGACCTCAAAACTCTCAACAAGAAGTACTTGGTCTTCTACATACAGGATATTTTTGCCCCCTGGAGGACCGGATCAACAAGTACATCGCCATGATCAACACAGCCCGAGACCAACCTACCAGATCAATCAGATGGTGGATGTCTCTCATGGGAAAGCTGTGTGAGAGACATACCTGAAAGTCTCACGTCTCTATGCCAGGTGTTAGAGACATACTTCAAAGTCTCACGTCTGTATGCCAGGTGTGAGAGACATACTTCAAAGTCTCATGTCTGTGTGCTAAGTGTGAGAGACATACTTCAAAGTCTCATGTCTGTGTGCTAAGTGTGAGAGACAAACTTCAAAGTCTCATGTCTGTGTGCTAAGTGTGAGAGACATACTTCAAAGTCTCATGTCTGTGTGCTAAGTGTGAGAGACATACTTCAAAGTCTCATGTCTGTGTGCTAAGTGTGAGAGACATACTTCAAAGTCTCATGTCTGTGTGCTAGGTGTGAGAGACATACTTCAAAGTCTCATGTCTGTGTGCTAGGTGTGAGAGACATACTTCAAAGTCTCATGTCTGTGTGCTAAGTGTGAGAGACATACTTCAAAGTCTCATGTCTGTGTGCTAGGTGTGAGAGACAAACTTAAAAGCCTACATCTGTGTTCCAGGTGTGAGAGACATACTTCAAAGTCTACGTTTGTGTTCCAGGTGTGAGAGACATACTTCAAAGTCTACGTTTGTGTTCCAGGTGTGAGAGACATACTTCAAAGTCTCACATTTGTGGGCTGTGTGAGTGAAGAGCATGCCCTGATTCAACACAAGACTAAACTCTACCTTGCTAACACCACCAAACTAAGGTGAGTTACCTCCATGCAGGACCAAAATAAGTCATTTCCTACACTTAAACCAATAGACTTATAGGGTGCGTTACGTCCATTGTTTTGACAGGTTGTTATTCTATGTAATGACCTGCACGTTCAACCCGCAGAGGGGAGTGAGCCTCAGTTCACATTTTGTAGTATTCGTGGCTTATGAGGTATAAGTCTAGTGCCACCCTCTCCTGCAATATGGACGAACTAAATGTAGTTATTGTTTAGGTTATACAGAAAAGATCTGAGTCGTATGCTTGGAAACAAAAATAAATGTATCTACTCAACTGTATAAAAACTGCCTCATACGAGTACCTGGATATTATCTTGTCAACCATACTCTGACCATCACTAGCTTCATAGCAGTGTTAGGAGCAACACCGAAACATTGCTCCTAATTGTAATAAAGTAGTTGTTCATCCATATATCTTATCTTTACTTAGTACTTTTCTTCACAGATACATATATCAATTATCGATCACTTGATCAATAGGGATGAATGAATAACAAGGAAAAATCAAAGATCGACAAAATGTACAGATTTAAAATTCATGTTAATATATGTTAATTGAAACTACAAAAATGAAACAATTTCCAGTGGGTGATCATCATTCCAGGATGTCCTCTGAAATTGATGCAACTATCCTTCCCAAAGTCAATCATCTCCCAACATGTCCACATGCAATACTAATGTGGATTTTTCAAGTTCTGTGATCTCCCCAAACTAGGTTCTATTAAACTACAGTAAACAAATTTCAAAAGAAGTCATTATTGAGTAATCGTTTCAAATCTCAGATTGCTCTCAGTCACGCACGCACGCACATGAACGTCATTTTATTACAGATATATATAGATTCAATGTTCATATTCCAGCAAGGAACTCCTCTATCAGATGATGTTGATGGACTTTGGCAACTTTGGCCTTCTCAGATTATCAGTAAGTAACCAATATATCAACTATCGTATATCAGGTTTTGTACAGCTTGAAAAAAACAATATTAAAGCATTTTATGTAATGGTGAACTGGTGCCTTTTTCAGTGGTGAGATCTATGTGTGCTTGTGGGTGTAGATGAGAGTGAATGTCATGACAGGTACTCGTACTTGTAGTCTGGGGGCTACACTGGTGCTGCTATTTGGTGGAGCTCTTTTCTGGGTTGGTATGGTATATATATATGATATTTATAAGATTTATTAACTGAAGTTAAAATAACACAATCATAAAAAAATGTAACTATATTTCACTGAAAAGCTGAAAGGACCCAAGGTGGATTACCACTCTACTGCTTAGAGGTTGATAGCTTTTTTTAAGTGATTACCAGTACATCTCAGAAGTCTCTATTGCGGTAGTATGAACTGGGATCCACGTGATGATTTAACCTCTTCAGTCAAATTAACAGCAATCTGCTCTTATCTCGGTTAGTTTGGGGCCAGAAATCAAATTTTCTGACCTAGTGAGATTTGCCAGTGTTAGGAATGGTGTGTTGGTAATCTCGTGGTGGGAAACACAAGGCCAGGATCAAGCTTGTCAACTCTCCTCATTGTAGTACCCATGACAGCAAGGCTACAAACAGGCTTATATTGTCTGGGGAAAACTAGGAAACTGTGTGAAGAAAATGAATCTTTTTGAACCTGGTTGTCAAAGTGAGTGTTCATTTGTTCCTAATGTCATAAAGGATGTGCATCCCTCTTTGTTTTTCTGATTGTCCGGCTTCCCGGTACAGATACAATGATTGATTGTAGATGTTCTTTATCGATAATGGCGATAAAGGTAAGCTTCACTACCATGGCACTATTATATTTATATACGATTTCATGAACACACAGATAAAAGATAGAAACAGATTGTAATCCCCGATTGATCAGTTGGAACCAGCTGATTGTGTATGAACTACCTCCCCTAACTTATTGGCATTTTGATTTAGGTTTCCATGTTAAGCACATGCTTTGACACATTTTTTTAAATCAGCCAAATCTTCAGTGGCTTAGGAAACCTCTTGTCCTGGTGGTTGTGTTGGACATTTTGATGGCATGTGAAGTTTTCTGTTCTGAAACAGTCTATCCTCGTTAATTCAGTGTATTATTTCTCCATTCCGTTGTGATAATACCTTGAGACCCATTTATTAGGATAACTTCATTTCGAAAGTGATGACATTATCAACATGCCTCCTTTCACTAACTTTGCACAGAATTTCTCTCTCTCATGAGGGTAATTTATTTGGAAGACTACTTGTGGTATAGCATGTTTCAAATCGGACTCAAAATGAAGCTAGGATGGCAATTTATCGTTTTACAAAGATTTTATACACTTGGAATAGTAATTGATCTGTGTGGTAGAAATGCTTGTCTAATGAAGATATTATTGTAAAACCTATATGCTGTAACCATTCTACAATGGATGTCACAGTAGACATTTTGAATATTATTTAAAGAATCTATTTTTGTTTACAACCATTATTTCAAGTTCAAACTAACTTTGAAATATTAGTTGTAATCGTCAATGCATTCCAAAGACTTTTCAAGTAGATTACAAGCCAAATGAAACATCCTCACTTCCTCAGGAACCTGCCCCAATCTATGACCTTGCCATGATGGCCCTGGACTCAGCGGAGAGTGGCTGGACGGAGGCAGACGGACCAAAGGAGGACCTGGCCCAGTACATCGTGGACTTCCTCAAGACCAAGGCACCCATGTTGGAGGACTACTTCTCTATAGAGGTGGACAAGGTGAGTGTTTGTTTGTTTGTTGTTTAACGCCGCACTCAGCAAAATTCAATATATACGACGGTGGTCTAAATAATAATTACGACCTGGCCCAGTACATCGTGTACTTCCTCAAGACCAAGGCACCCATGTTGGAGGAGTACTTCTCCACAGAGGTGGATAAGGTGAGTGTTTGTTGTTTAACATCGCACTCAGCAATATTCAAGCTATATGACGGCAGTCTGCAAATGATGATTAGGACCTGTCCCAGTACATCGTAAACATCCTCAAGACCAAGGCACCATGTTGGAGGACTACTTCTCCATAGAGGTGGACAAGGTGAGTGAGTAGGACCTGTCCCAGTACATCATGGACATCCTCAAGACCAAGGCACCATGTTGGAGGACTACTTCTCCATAGAGGTGGACAAGGTGAGTGAGTAGGACCTGTCCCAGTACACCGTGGACATCCTCAAGAGCAAGGCACCATGTTGGAGGACTACTTTTCCATAGAGGTGGACAAGATGAGTGAATAGGACCTGTCCCAGTACATCATGGACATCCTCAAGAGCAAGGCACCATGTTGGAGGACTACTTCTCCATAGAGGTAGACAAGGTGAGTGAGTAGGACCTGTCCCAGTACATCGTGGACATCCTCAAGAGCAAGGCACCATGTTGGAGGACTACTTTTCCATAGAGGTGGACAAGATGAGTGAATAGGACCTGTCCCAGTACATCATGGACATCCTCAAGAGCAAGGCACCATGTTGGAGGACTACTTCTCCATAGAGGTAGACAAGGTGAGTGAGTAGGACCTGTCCCAGTACACCGTGGACATCCTCAAGAGCAAGGCACCATGTTGGAGGACTACTTTTCCATAGAGGTGGACAAGATGAGTGAATAGGACCTGTCCCAGTACATCATGGACATCCTCAAGAGCAAGGCACCATGTTGGAGGACTACTTCTCCATAGAGGTAGACAAGGTGAGTGAGTAGGACCTGTCCCAGTACATCGTGGACATCCTCAAGACAAAGGTACCCATGCTGGATTTATTTTTTTTAAATAATGTGGCCACTGTTGATTGTATTGCTCGTGTATAGATACTCCTGGATAAAAGAAAAAAGCAGCCACAATTATTTTATGGATCTATGCAAGTTGCTAACTGCATCATGGCAACATTGACACAAATGGCAAAAGTCTCAGTCTCTATTTCTGATCAAAACAAGGAACATGCAGCAAAGTTTGTGCAGCTGCTTTAAGAGGGCACTCACTTCCCATATGGCCACAGTTTGATTCTCAACATCAATCTTTTTGGATGGAAAATTAACCTATCAGCTTAAATCCATTCCATATTTTGATAAGAATGAATGAAGTGAATTCCTCCTCCCTTCAGTCTGGCAACCTGTTGACACTGCCGATGTTGCTGGATGACTACAACCCTGTGCTGGATGGACTTCCCCTGTACGTGCTGCGACTTGCAACAGAGGTATGTTGGTAGCCTCATTTTGGGAGCAGTGCCACAATGTTCTTTAAACTATGCCACTACTACCATGAAAGCTGTTGTTATCATAGCAGTGTAAATGTTCCTGCACATTAGAATTTAAGTATAGCTTTTAAGTGTGCACATATCTATCACTTTTTAAACAAAATTGGTATTATGATGGTTGCTTATCGATATTTCGGGGTATATTTTTATGAAATTGTGTGCTGTCTTTACTACAAAAAATATCCCCCAATATCCAATATAGTCATGATCCCTAACTTCTTCTTTTTTTTGTTCATATATGTTGTATACGTCCATGCCTTTACTGATTTTACTAATAATAGAAAGTTTATTTTTAATGTTACTATTATATCAACATATCCTTTTACATCTGGTCTGGGTTTTTTTTAAATTCAGACATTAATTAAATGCATGGTAGATTTGCATTTGGTATGTTTCATCAACCAATCAGTAATTCAGTTTGAAATAAAAGATCTATCAGTATTATTCTGTCACTTATAAAATGGGTCAGTCATTTGGTTTATCACAGGTGTTGATTAATTGATCCATTTGTTTTAATGATATTGTGATACTCGGACTCTTAGCATTGTAATAATAAGTCATAATAAGAATTCATACTGACTTCTCCATCTTTGTGCTATGATCATCGTTAGTCTATGTTAATGTATAGGAGTTATGGTCGTCTTAGCGCCTTATAACTGTTACCAAACCAAGACAATATTTAATAAAGTGTTCGCTTGTCACGCCGAAGACCCGGGTTCGATTCCTGACATGGGTACAATGTGTGAAGCTCATTTCTGGTGTCCCCCGCTGTGATATTGCTGGAATATGGCTAAAAGCTGCATAAAACCATACTCACTCACTCACTCACTGGTAACAGTTATGTTGACTAGTTACCTTACAGTCCATGCAGTATCCTGATATAATCATAATTACAAACGGCTCCCAATTAACTGTACAATCCTTTTATGCACCATGCACCAACAATCCATATCACAAATACCAAAAGGATTAATGATTTGAGTGAGTGAGTTATATTTTATCACTGCTTTGAACAGTATTCAGCATTAGAAATTGGCACTAGTCCTATAGTCCTTGCAAAACTGCCCAATATCATAGGGACTAGTAGAAATTTGCCATTTTTAAGGGTTTTGCCACTTTGATAAAAACCACAAACATGGGTATGGTGCTGACAAACCAAGAAACAAGATTGGGGCGAACCAGGATCATAGGTTTCTGGCATGCCCAAGGGACACAACTCTGAACAGCGAATTGCGGCCCCTCAGACGACTGCCACCCATGCCCCCTTCTTATATTTTGAACATTGTATTATATATGTAGTTGATAACATAATTCGTTAGTACTTATTCCTTTCACAATTTCCTGAACACGACTTCTCAGTTCTTACAGTATTATTCCGACTAAATACTTGTGTTACTAAGTAAGGATAAGATTTATGGATGAACAACTTCTTTATTACAATTAGGAGGTATAATACACGCTTGTCAACCATACTGTCCATCACTAGCTTCATAATGGTGTTCGGAGCAACATCGAAACGTCGTTCCTAATTGTAATAAAGAAGTTGTTCATGTATAAATCTTATCCTTACTTACTACTCCAACTTCTAACTGTCTCAAAATTCTTGGGTGTTCTGACTTAACATGCTGCATAAGACCTTCACCTTCCTGTAGCATTACCTAGCCTCTGTACTGAAATGCATGCATGCAGCCTACTTGATACTATGACATACATATGTAGGTCCATAGGAACAGAGAGTGGGCAAGGAGAACTCGATCTTAATTCGGTGTCAATCTTAGCGCTAAGGTTGTGAGCGTACGTCTATGACATCACCTGCTGAAACAATTACTCAATATGCTGTTATAAACACAACAATTTATGAATTTTTTGCCTATTTCTAGTACAATTTCTGAGTGCCGAGACCAATAGTAGACCAGTTGACATAATCGTAAAATGTAATGTTCAAACATGAAATGTTACAAAATGATCATGAACTCTATTTAATTAATCCCAAGTAGGATCATGTAGCACAACAAATTCTGGATAAACAAATTTGAGCAGTTGCTCAACACCCAAAGACAAAAATCTCAAAACAAAATAGACACATGCTTCGACAGTTTATCTGAATGAACATACAAATTTGAAAGCAGTTAAATTTAAGATTTTGGAGATGTTAACATGGTTAAAAATAATTCTATTTCAATAATTCAGTGTTTTTGTATTTATATGTAGTAAGACAAGTCCACCTCGGGATTAAGGGAACAGGCTGGGTATTTGCTGCTCACTGGACCATTAACTTTAACCATTAACCATTGCTGTTTTGCATTTTGGGAATATATCAATAAATAAAGTTATATATATTACTAATATTCCCTACATGTGTGAACATACTTAAAAAAATTCGGGTCACACAATATTATATGTTACTGGTGATGAGGATCGAGTCTTTCTCCCTTCCCCCTACTGATTGATGATATGGGCTCAGGATTATCCGCCCTATGTGATCCCTTCCTACGGGCCTGTATGGATACGTACACAATTAAAATATGTCATGTTAAAAGTGGAGAATCCAAACAGTAAGAATAACACATAAATACCAACTGCAAAACATCAACAAATTGGAATGAACAATCAGCTCATCCAGCACCTCACCTCGGACGGCTTACTGTTACAATACGAACAGATGTGGTCATCCATGATGCGTCACAGGATTACGGAACATGTTTTATAGGACATGATAGATATATCATTGTTTAGGGGAAAAGGTATACTGCCCACACACCAGCGTGACCATTACCAATGTAATGTAATGTAAGGCTATACTGGTTAACCGCCTATGGGTGTGATAGTAACATATACAGCCCACCTAGTGGTTTAGTGAAGGGAAGATAAGTTGAAAAAGACACTTCTAGAAACCTCTCAGCCCACCAAACCTGCTAGTGATGTCATCCAGGGTTTTTACCAGATGCAAAATATTGCATATTGTACATGTCACATATAACTGACATCCCTTTCTGGTTAGGGATGCTGCACTTAAAAGTTTAGGCTGTCATTGGTTGACTTTCTTCAAACTATTAGAATCCCCATCTATGGCTTAAAGTTTCAGACCTGGTGCAATCATATGACATTAAAATCTTGGAAATGGAGTAGTGTGTGCCACAGGTCACCAAGCCTGGCCCCCCAAAATTATTAATCAGAAGCCCCTGGACTTCAAAATAAATAGACCCAGGAAAATGCCTGTCACCCTCCAAAGCTGTTTTCACTTTCAGGTAAACTGGGAGGAAGAGAAGGAGTGTTTTGAGTCCTTCTGCCGAGAAACCAGCGAGTTCTACTGCATTAAGAAGAGCTTGTTCTCCAGACTGGACCATGAGGGAGGGTCACAGGTCAGTGAGATTCACCCTTTCTTCATAAGGCCACACATTCACAGATATATTTGAGCTTTTCCACACAAGATAGGTCGAAATAAAAATAAATGTCCATTATTTTATTGATATGGTTATTCAGCCATGGAGTTAAAACTGCAGGTGGCCTCATGAATCACTGATAGAAGTCAAAGAATATATATAAAATTATGACATTTTATATTGTATAAGAGGGACTATATTACTAGTGGGAGACATAAGAAAAATAAATAAAACATGTAAATACTTATATGTTTAATTCATTTGTTAGACTGGAAGTAGGGGTGGCAGGCCTGTGAAACAAAAAATAGAAAATGGTTATGAAAATTTATGGGCAGAAATAAAACTTGAAACAGATGGCAAAAGAGCAATAAATAATTATTTAGTCTAGCTTGGCATGGAAGAGATACCAGTTACAAATTAGATAATATCAAATTAGGATGATAATCAGTATTTCTATTATTATTATGTTTTGTTGTATGTGCGTGTGAAGTTTTGCTGCAATTAATGCAAGGTGTGGTGTGTCAATGAATTATTTTTTTCTTGTCATGTAAAACACTGAGCCAAGAATGCTCTAAACGCAAATGTATTTAATTTTAAGGAAGTGCAAGAATCTCATCCCAAGGGTGATAAGTGGAGGTGGACTGTGGAGCATGTCGTATACCCAGCAGTTCGGACACAGTTACTTCCCCCTAGACAGTTTGCAGAGGATGCAAGCTTATTGCAGCTTGCCAATCTCCCAGACTTATACAAAGTGTTTGAGAGGTGTTAACTGGCAACAATGTCGTAGTTACAACCCAACAACTGGCAGTCAGAAATTTATGGCACTGCCTTTCAAAACCTTTCCAAAATTAAAACATAAACACAGTTTTGTCCATCTTGAAATTGTCAATTACAGGATGTGCCATTTCATTGATAGAGCTGTGTGAGAAGAGACATGAATATTTTCAGCCGCAGGAGAGAAACAGTAGGAAATACTGGCAATGTAAACTTTCACTGAGTAATAAATAAATTATAGTCAAGTCATGAAGCGAGTAGTGTACAACGTGGTCCCCATCGTGGTCCCAATCGTGTCTGTGAGCACCTCCGTTATGGGTATTACTGAAAACCTAAAAAAACTGCCTCTATTCCCTCATGAAGCTGACAGTGTTAATGATGGACGTTGTTGTTATCCCCCGCCGCGCGAAAGCGCGAAGCGGGGGATATAGTATTCACGACCGTCCGTACGTCCGTCCGTACGTCCGTCTGTCCGTCCGTCCGTCCGTACGTCCCACCTGTTTGTTGCCGCGATATCTGAAGAACTAAACACTGGATTGTCTTCATATTTGGAACTATGGTGTATATACAGACTCCGCAGACACCAGTCGGTTTTGGTGACCTTGATCCCATTTTCAAGGTCACAGCAGACAAATCTGCTTTTAGAGTTGGAAAACGGTGTTGCCGCGATATCTCAAGAACTAATCACTGGATTGTCTTCATATTTGGAACTATGGTGTATATACAGACACCGCAGACACCAGTCGGTTTTGGTGACCTTGACCCCATTTTCAAGGTCACAGCAGGCAAATCTGCTTTTAGAGTTGGAAAACGGTGTTGCCGCGATATCTCAAGAACTAAACACTGGATTGTCTTCATATTTGGAACTATAGTGTATATACAGACTCCGCAGACACCAGTCGGTTTTGGTGACCTTGATCCCATTTTCAAGGTCACAGCAGGCAAATCTGCTTTTAGAGTTGGAAAACGGTGTTGCCACAATATCTCAAGAACTAAACCTCTCGATTGTCTTCATATTTGGAACTATGGTGTATATACAGACACCGCAGACACCAGTCGGTTTTGGTGACCTTGACCCCATTTTCAAGGTCACAGCAGGCAAATCTGCTTTTGGAGTTAGAAAACGGTGTTGCCGCGATATCTCAAGAACTAATCGCTGGATTGTCTTCATATTTGGAACTATAGTGTATATACAGACACCGCATACACCTGTCAGATTTGGTGACCTTGACCCAATTTTCAAGGTCACAGCAGGCAAATCTGTTTTTGGAGTTGGAAAACGGTGTTGCCACAATATCTCAAGAACTAATCGCTGGATTGTCTTCATATTTGGTACTATGGTGTATATGGCGGGGGATATTTTGTCACTCTGTGACAAATACTTGTTTCAATTCATATGGAACTCATTTTTTTACATAAGAACATGAAACTTGTCTTCAATCTCCTGGTTGGTACAGTTAGAACATATACAATTTACAAAATCACTATCCTTGGTTCTACCATATTTATTGACAAGAAAGTTATTGAGAAATATTCTAAATTTACAAAAAGCTCTCAATAGAGTTTCATATGATTGCATTAGACGTCATGGAGCGAAACCAGACTTCTTCCTGTTTAAGGATTACAGATTTTGGCCCCAAAATTCAGGTCAGTAGGTTGGGGAAAATAAAACATTTTACCGGTAAATTCAATTTCTTATTTTTGTTTTCCTCAGAATGTTAAGTAAGTAGGGGAAAAAAGTGAGGGTGGGAGGAATAGGGAAGGGAACAACAGATGTTTACCGGTAATGCAAACAGATTCTTATATCTACACTTTCCAAATTCTACTGTTTCCACTTCTTCCCAACTGTTAGCATCCAGCGGACAACAGGCTGGATGCCCTTCGATATTTATTGTCACTATCAATGTTATTATATATGTTTTTTCAGCATTTTTTAAGTTGTCAGATTCATTAACCAAGTTTTAAGAAAAATAAAGTAAGGTTTAGCACTGCTTTGAACAGGGCAGCCCAAAGTGATGAATACTATATATGTTGAAGTTCTCATGCCCATAGGGATGGGCACCATCACTAAATATCACAGTCTGTTCCTCAGGAAAAATTCATGCAAAGCTATGTATACAATCATGGTAGTCATAAGTTACAGCAGTATCACAAGTATACCACAGGGCCCTGGCTGTTACAAGTGCCAATAGGTATATCTCAGTTTCTGATATAATATATGCACACCAATTTTCTCGGGGTCAAAAATAGGAAAAAAATGTTGCCATTTTCCTGCTAAAACAACTGCACAAACGGACATGTCATATTGCTGTTTCATGTTAACTTATTTTTGCAGTATTAAAAACTATCAGAATATTAATTTATTTACATGTCGGCGGATCTGTATTGCTTCCCCCCACCCCCACCAAAAAAGATTAACACATACGCTGGTCATGTAAGGAGATTAGACACTAGGAAGCTTGTTTGAAGACAGGAAGCATTTTTGATAACTATTTCTTTATTCATTTTTCATGTAAGCTAGACTTGGGAGTGAAAGTCAAGAGGCCTTTGTTACAACTCTCCTTAATAGTTCAAATACTATAGGAGAAAACTACAACCCCTGAACTTCCATTCTAACACTGTATACATGTATGTACTGATTACACCACCTCACAAAGCAGTTTAAGGACTGTTGATAAACAGAAACTGAGGTGTCCGAGGAAGCTATCCCATCTGGCAGCCTAGTTCCACATTGAGGAAGATCTCCATCACATAAGGTGTGTTTGTTGTTTAAAGCCACACTCAGCAATATTCCAGCTATATGGTGGCAGTCTGTAAATATTCAAGTCTAGACCAGACAATCCAATGATTGACATCATGAGCGATTGGGGTACGCATCCATCAAGACAGCGAGCCTAGACCACTGAATCCTGTTTGTTGCCTTTTATCATGCTTAGCATTGGTCTTCGGCAACCATAACTCGGATCTTCACAGGTCACACATGGTCTGTGAGTTGGGTTTAACGCCGCTGTTAACGGTATTCCAGTTATATAGCGGCGTGTCATGGAAAGCCAGAAGTGATGCAGGTCTCAGATGTTTACCACTTCGGTGAAACCCATGAGCCGGGGTATGGTGCTGACAAACCTGGAAACAATCAGGGCGAACCGGGATTGGAACCTACAATCATAGGTTATTGGCTTGCCCCAGGGATGCAGCTCTGCAGCTCTGCACAGCGAATCGTGGCGCCTTAGACGACTGGGCCACCCGAGCCCCCACAAGTAGTAAGTTCTCCCCGATGCACAACTTACAAAGAATAGTCTGAACAATCAATATGGTCAAGCCATAACATAGCGTGAATATTGCCAGAAACACAAGATAGCTGAAACACACATTGACAAGTCATAATTTTCATGTAACCTTATTTTCAAAAGTCATGTTGGTGAAGGATTTAGGATTGTTGTCCAAGTATATACGAGTATTATAGTGTCTTTGTTTTTGCATGCCTTGGTGCTCCCACAGCTCCACCATACACTGGTGACGGCTCAGCTTTTTATGGTCGCCTTGAAAGCTTTCCGAACAGCAATCACGAAAGAGCGGAAGTTGTTTGTCGAGTTGAGCTTTTTCACCAAGGCCTCGAAGTTGTCCACCAATGGCTCACAGCCAGACACTGGAATATAAAACAATGACAATACCACTCTGAAACTGTGTGAATGTGTGTGTGCGCGTGCACAGAATCCAACTATCACACAAGCACTGATGTCTTCACATGAGGCTAACACCTCACATTTCCATATTAATGCAAGCTTGACATTCGGTATTCTTTTGATATACGAAGTGTTGCTTATCTAGCCGTTTGGTAGCTTAAAGTTATTATAGTTCACTGAGATGGATTCACATAGAAATATAACTACTGATACATATATGTATTTGTAAATGAAAACTTGTCTATGAGTTCAATAAGTATCTTAATTGTTATGCCAGTCTCAACTGATTAAAATGGCATCACGTTCACGCTTGGTCGACATGGAAAGCCATGTATCTACCTACTTTTGTCCAATTGTCAACCTGGTATTAATCAATTTAATGAACCCAAGCACCTGCTTGATGTGATATGTTGTGTCTCATAACAGCAGGGTTGTCGTCATCTTGTGTGCCTCCAGTGATGTCAAGAGGACGCTTGCTTCGTACAAGTTAGTGTGAGAATTAACTCACCCAGGGTCACTGCCTTTATACCATAGCAGGCCCTTGTGGGCCAAAGTGTGTGGGTGAATGTTGTGTTCGCCAGACTGCAATATTACAGCTATATGACAGTGGACTATAGATAATCGAGACTTGAGCCAGGCAAACCATTGACAGAAACCATAAGAATCCATCTGCATTGTAAGTTTGTAACCACCCATTCCTCTTCAAGCTGCTCTAATAGCAAACATACTTGGGACCAATATACATTCACCTGTCAATCAAACAACATCAAGTCAAGGTGCACAGTCAAGCAATGGATTGCAAAAGGAGGTAACTGTGCAATATATTTCATCACTTTACTATTTTGTAGTGCAGGATTTCACTGCCAATTTTCATTCTGAAAATGGGAATAAAAACAAAATATGCTTCAGCCTGAGAAGCAAGTACATTTTGTTGCCAAATAGAATATAGATATGGATGTGAATGACTAATTCTTCCCTGATTGTTGGGATGTGTGATTAACCCCATTTAGGCCAAAGAAACCCACTTTCTTGGAAATTGAACACAGCAATTCAAACCTTACACTCACCTATGTACTTTCCCTGGTTGATCTGCACGTAGAAGTAGAAGCGAGCATCCGGATCCTTGTCATCGACACAGGTGAACACCACCTGCAGGCGACCACCTGACAAGGGAGGTAATCAAAAGAGTTGCATGTCTTTATTTCAAAACAAGTGATTCGAGCGAGTATGGTTTCAAACATCCCTGATTATTCAGTGTATTACATGTCCATTCTAGTATGAAAACTCCCTGGAATCCCTTGCTGCAAGACTAAATCAAGGTAATTTTACAGGTATATATTTAAACATTAATCATGATGTTACCGTTTTTAATTCATGTGCCCCATTAGGTAAAAACAATCACTAAACATAACAAACTTCACCTGACGTCTTCTTGAACTTGAGTCCAAGTCTGTCTTGGAACATGGCTGCTGCTCTCTCCAGCTCTGTCAACTTTTCAGATATGGCTTTCTCTTGGGCAGACAGTACTAGAAGCATCGTACACAATACAGGAATAGTCATGTTTCTGGTGGGCTTTGAACAATAAACGAAGTCAAGATATGTATGTAGTGAGGTCATGATACAGAAATGACTAGCTGATGAAGAAGGTTTAATGTATACAAAGCTATGTTTGGTCCAGCGTCAATGTGTCTTGGTGGAAACAAAACATACATCATGTACATGACGACAGTCTAAAACAGAAAACTAGTAAAATCCTAGATATTTTTTTTATATTTGTATACTTATCCTGCATTACTCCTTAATGCATATATTACTGCTTGTTCTTGACAAAGAAAAGAGCTGTGTGAAGTTCTTTGCTTGAAGAAGTTGCTCCAACTAGCTTAGAGGCCAACCAATCACGCAGCTCTCACGTGACCAAAGGAAGTGACGTCACGGATCATCACATTACTCTGTAGTCCGAAACATCGGAAGGTACCGTGGGGAGGTAGATCTGCAATGGGCGGGTCCCTTTAGACGCAGTAATGCAGGATAAGTATACAAATATAAAAAATATCTAGCATTTTACTAGATTTTTTACTTATCCTGCATTACTCCTTAATGCATCTTTATTGGACAGAACCGGAGGTGGGCATACCTTCAGTCGTGGACCTTTCATCTGTTATTTCCAGACTCTGTTCCCTAGCCAATCCTAGGCTGTGTGGTCGGCATCGGTTGACGACTCCAAGTGTGGGAACCTCCCATTCCCTCAGCCCGTCCTCAGCTGTGTGGTCAGCTTCAGGTGACCACTCCATGTATAGGAAACTCTGTTTCCGTCAGCCCGTCTTCGGCTGTGGTCGGCCTGGATGACCATTACATGGAAGGGAAGAGTCAGTTATGCGTTGTGTCCTAGTACTGCGCAGCCTGACAATAGCGCTCGGCTAGGTCAAGACTGGAGCACCGAGCCGTATGCGAATGAGGCATGAACCTTCTAGTCCAGGGCTAAGGCTGTCTCTGGACTTGGAGGCGAGGTCAATGGCATGTAGTAGTGGTGACCTGCTGGGCAACTACTAACGTACCAAAGCTGTGTGTTCCTTGCACGTCCTCCAAAGCGACGTCTCGCAGGTAGTGACTGGCGAAGACTGTGTTGGAATGCCAGAAACATCCCTCCATGATGGCGCGTAGAGAGCAGTTGCTGTGAAGTGCCATGGGGGAGGCGACCGCCCCAATCTCATGCTGATTGTTGGAGCGTGGAGGGTCCAGTCCTGCGGCCTCGTAGGCCTGGAGGAGGATGGCTTGTAGCCAGAGGGCGATCATGTTGCGGTTGACCTCCGCTCACGAGGTCGCAGATACCGGTACAAAGAGGCGTCCTTGTCTACGGCGTTCCTCGGATCGTCGGATGTAGCAACGAAGTGCTCTAACTGGACATAGACGGAGCTCTCGTTCGTCTTCCGTGCCCACAATCGATGAAAGGGGGGGGGGGGGGGGGGGACAGTGTCATCGGATGAGGATTGATCTGTCGGGCTGGACTGGGAGCTGATTCTTTGCAATGAAGTCCCAGCACAGGCGCCGTGTGCTCCCTGCTCAAAGCGGACCCGTGTGACGTCTAGGGCATGTAGCTCACTGACCCGGGCTGCTGTAGCGAGCCCCAGTAGGAAGACCGTCTTTTTCGTCAGGTTGTAGAATGATGACGTTTCGAGTGGCTCAGCGAGGTGAGAATGACGTTCAAGTCCCAGGGCGGGGGACGAAACTTCGCCTTTTGGTCTTCCAGTCTGAAGGAACAGAGCAGTGCCTGGAGTTCCGGGATTTTCGTCATGCGTCTATCTTTCAGGACTGCCAGGACGGAGTTGAGCACCACAAGGTAGGTCATGATGGTACTGCCCTTGAGCTTATGCTTGTGTTGCAGATGGAGCATGAACTTGGCTAGGAATTGAGGCGATGCAGATGTGGGGTCTTGTTGCTTACTCCTGCAAAAGCTCTCAAAGGATTGCCATTTGTCGTCATAAAGGCTCCTGGTGGTTAGGTGATGTGCCATCATTATGGCCTTAGCCGATCTGGCCGAGTAGCCCTTGGCGCTCAAAGGTCCTGGGTGTGGCTGTCTGCTGTGAGGATGGATCAGCAGGTTTGGCCAATCTGGGAGTGGCAGAGGGTTGACATCGGATAGGTGGCCACCAGGGCGCGACCAAAGTCAGATCAAGGTTCCGTGTTGATCTGATCTTCTGGACAACTTTGGGAAGGAGTACAGGTGGCGGAAAAGCGTACGCTTTTAGACCCTCCCAGGGGACGCAGAAGGCGTCGACTGCCCAAGCCAGTGAATCCGGCACCGGAGATATGTAGGTCGGGATCTGGTAGTTCTGGCTGGTGGTGAATAGGTCTATGTTGGGAAGACAGTGGTCTTGACAAGCAAGAGCGAAGGTGTCTGGGTGAAGTTTCCACTCTGTGGAAGCCACCTTGTCTGGCCGAGACAGGGCATCCGCTAGGATGTTTCGGCAGCCCGGGATGTGGTGGACCTGGAACTGGATCCTCAGCTGATCCACTAGGTGAAATAATCGGAACGTCTGTTGAAGGAGCGAAGTCGAATGAGTCGTTCCCTGGTTCCGGAGACACCAAACGACAGTGATGTTGTCTGTCGAGATGGAGAGCCGGGCTTGTCTGAGCGCCTGCTTCCAGTGAGTGATGGCCAAGATAAGCGCTTCCAGTTCGAGGTTGTTGATGTGCCATAGCCCTGAGGCGACCTGTCCCTCCAGGTGTGCGCCCCATCCCTGTAGGGACGCGTCTACGAAGAGGCGTAGAGAGGTCGTAAGCCCTGCCAAGGAGACGCGGCCTAAGACATTCGATTCCACTGTCCACCACCAGAGATGCTGCTTGAGATGATCCGGGAGGACGATGGATAGAGCGGGGTCCTGGCGTCTGATGTAGGGCGCCAGGAACATCTGAACAGGTCGCAGTTAGAGCCTTCCTCTGTAGGTCAAGTCCTGTGCCGAGGTTAGGAGGACTTGCCATTGGCGCAGAGTGTGTGGTAAGTGGAGAGCTGGAATCAGGTGCGCCTGCATGCGATCCCACCGGTCTCTGGGTACAGAGATGAGGTTGAGGTCTGTCTGGAAGAGGCCCTGATGAACTAAAGGCACTTGGAGGGTGTCAACTCTTGACTTCATGAAGTTGATCTTCCACCCCAACTGGTATAGGAGTCGAAGGGTGAAGTCCCTGTGGCAGAGTAGAGTGACCTGGTCCAGATGGTCCAGTAAGCAGTCGTCTATGTACGCCTCGAACTGGATGTCCCGGCGATGGAGGTACAAGGCTATCGGCTTGGTAAGCTGTGTGAATAGCCACGGGGCCGAAGAAATTCCAAACAGGAGGACCGCCCATTGGTAATGGACTCCAATGAAGATGAAGCGGAGGAATTTCCGGTCGTCGGGATGTATAAGGACGTGTAGGTAGGCGTCCTCGATGTCCAGGCTGATGAGCACCTCCTGCGCCTGGATCCGGGATCGCAGTAGCCTGAGCGTGGTCATCCGGAAGTATGGTGGACAGGCAAGGCGGCGGTCATCCTGTGCTTGTCCGAGTCGTTCTTGGGGACCAGGAAGACAGGTGAATAGAGTTGGTGACGTCAGTGGCGGGTCGTCTACAAGCGTCAGCTTGTACCCGAGTTGGATGATATTGGTGACATATGGGTCCCCCAGCATCTCCCAGTTCTGCCAGAAGTGAGCTGGTCGTGTCTGTCCGGCGGTTCACTAGGGGTCCCTGCGGCTGGCGTTTCCCCTCTTGGGGTTCCGCGACAGGGCTGGTATGAGCTGAGGACTTTCCTTTCCCCTTGCCTCTGCCTCGAGAGGTTGAGGTGGCTCCCCGCCCCCGGGACCGGAGGGAGTTGCGACGTGGTTGGTAGGAGCCAGCCTGGGACGCCCTAGCAAAGTCTGGCTGAGACACCCTGGCCAGGGCCTTAAGAGCCGTCTCATCGCAGGCGAAAGCTGAGACCCAGGCGTCTGTCTGGGATATTTGTCCATTAAAGAGGTCAGAACCGGACCAGGGTTGGCGCAAGAAGTCTCTCTTGAACTCTGGGTCCCAGTTGGACAAGGCAAGGTACCCAAGGCATCTGGTGGTAGTGCGCTCGATCAGAGCAACGCGTATGTGGGAGCGCATCTGTTCCACCTGTTGTTGGAGATAGGATACGACGGTAGTTAAATGGTCAATCCTATGGGGGTTGTCCTCCGCTAAGTCCTGCAGTACGGCCCTTGAGGATGACGCCATCAGAGAGAGGGGTTTGAGCGTGTGGCGAATCTCGGTCTCTACGTAGACGAGTTTGTTGGAGACTCGGACTGAGGTGGAGCGGTTCAATCCCGTCATGCGGTGCATGTCCTCATCCAAGGAGTGAGCGTGGTCCGCAACTTGAAGAGAGTGAAGTGGGAAGTCATCTCGTCTGTACCGTGGGGCCCTGAAGGACGGAGTCAGCGACAGTTTACTGAAGTCCTCGTCCAAGGCTGAGATCATGTCTCTGATCAGTGGGTCAGGAGGGATCGAAGTGCGGTCCGCACGGATAGCCGTCTTGCTATCAACCTCTAGGCCAGATGAGGGAGCAATAGCCTCCAATCTGTCAGCCACTGTCCATAGGGGTGTCATCATAACAAGGGATGAAGGCGCCCTCCAAGGAGTCGGAACGATAGCCACTGGAGCACCTGCTAATCGGGGAGCGGCTTCTAGATCTCTGACCCTGTCTAGAGGATCTACTGTCACTCCGCCGTGAGGACGTACTAGGCAAGGGCGCGTGTGTCTGTAAGGACGTCGTGCAGATAGGCGCCATCTGAAAGGTCGCTAGAGGAGGCGCAATTAGAGGCGCCGGTAAAGACGCTGGCATCGCCTGCTGTCTCGCCTGTAAGTACTGCAGGTACTGGAGGAGTGAACCGTCTGTCATAGGTGTCCGTGCCGTAGGCAGGGGCGCCTGTGGAAGACCGAGCCTCTGTACCGTAGGTGGGGCAACTGTGGTAGACCGAGCGTCTGTGCCAAAGGCGGGGGCGCCTGTAGGAGACCGAGTGTCTGTGCCAAAGGCGGGGCGCCTGTAGGAGACCGAGCGTCTGTTCCGAAGGAAGGTATAGGCGCCGTCTGGTATATGAGCGCCACGCCGGGCGTCACAGAGGTCAACGTCGTAAAGATAGACGCTGTTGTGGTTGTCCGAGACTACAACCCTGGGGACCGACATCAAGGGAGCAGTTGAGGTCGGGGTCATCCAAGATGGCTGATCTGGAAGGCAAAACTTTGGAAAGGTCTGACATCCTGGCCTGGGTTTCCTGGCCTGCTGTGTTAGTGCACACACGAAGATACTGTCTGAAAGCTGTGAGTGAAAGCAGTAAACAGTCTTTACATCGGTGATCTTGGTGGCATTGAGATGTACAATTAAGTCACAGGGGGTGGGGATCCCACACCGACATATTGCGCCGGCACTTTAAGCAGGAGGGCATGATATCTGCAACGAAGCAGTGTAAAATCACAATACGTCCCCGCCCAATTACCGTTTTGTATGCTATAATTTGATTATCCCACTATGTGGGTTTATGAAACAAATATTACGACAAACGTAAGACAACATACAATCAAACAAAACAATACATGCAATGATACACCAATCGTGGGGTACCAAGCAAAAGAATATAGACCACAAAACAGTCCACAAACAGCTGGCTACGCAAAATATTCAAGATGGCTACTTGGAGCAACAAGACACCTGGCCTATGTTTTCTTTTGAGAAAACGCCAGTAAGTGTCTCATAAAGTTATGCACATGTTTATCAAACATAGAATGTACAAAATACAAACCGTAAGCACAACACATGGACAAAACAACATTAACTCAGAAAGCAAACACGTGAGGATTTGAACCAGTTTTATGTTACAAGAAGAAAAACAGGTCTTCTCTCATCAAGTGACAAGAGTGATGTGATGATCCGTGACGTCACTTCCTTTGGTCACGTGAGAGCTGCGTGATGGTTGGCCTCTCAGCTAGTTGGAGCAACTTCTTCAAGCAAAGACCAGCAACTTCTTCAGGCAAAGACCTTCACACAGCTCTTTTCTTTGTCAAGAACAAGCAGTAATATGCATTAAGGAGTAATGCAGGATAAGTAAAAAATATGCTTGATTCACAGAAAGCCACAATATTGGTAACAACCTACCAATAACATATTGATCTGTCAACCTACACTATGCTATCACATTAAAATACTTGGGCATCCTTGCCTGAAAGACATTAGGACGTCATGATAGTGGTGTGTACTGAGAACTAAAAGCTACATCTTTTTCTACATTCACCCATAGACAGTTGACAAGTTGATCCAAAACTTTGAGGGGATGGGCATTCATGACCTGTTACGTCCTGATAAGTATATAAATAAGGGGAATACTCAGATTTTAAACTCCACAACAGTATGCAATTATCCCACATTAACTGTATATTCTCTTTTTTGCAATTGCAATAAGACTGCCACTTCACCTGCAACCCATGACTTCAGTTGTCCCATAATATGTCACCACCTAGCTATGTTAGGCTGGGTCAGACATGTTGCAAATGGAGGTATCGAGAACTGCAGGTGCCCACACAATACGAAGTACCAACAAATAGCAAAGTTGCTCACATTGCCAAAAGCAAAAAGCAACAAGTGGAGTGCCCTCGTGGATGCCAGCACCCTAATCTCATTTAGGTTGGAAGTTCTAGAAGGGTCCAAGCCAGCATAGGAAGCGTTATAGCAGGGAAAGTGGAAACAACAGCGGTATAGCCACACCGGAGAAAAAAATCATGCAGAAATTTTGCAGAACAGCACATGAAGTGTAAGTTCACAACAGAATAGACAATAACAAGGACACAAATAGCCACCATAATAGTGGATGGAACATGACACGCACTGGAGAACATGCAATGAATACATGATGAGGTGGTAGGAGGTTGTGTTCGGGTGAATGTTCTACACTGTAAGGAATATTGCATACTGTTTTGGAGGGATAAGTTAAAAATAAAAACCTCCCACCCCTGTAATAAATTGCCAGTCCTAAAACTGAAATTCCCATCCATAATATGCTTAATATGCTTGTAATATGTCTCCTGAGATTGTGCCTCTGCAAATCCCATGACAATCAAGTGAAGCATGTCGGATACCCCTAGCCTATGACGTCCATGTTCATGCCTTGAATCCCACAAACATATTACCCCAAAACAGACAGACCCAGGCAGAAGCCTGCACTTTTGACTAATCAGTGGTCCCTGACATGACCAAGGGACACAACTCTGCACAGTAATACAACAAACAAGGCCTTACACTGTTTCTCTCTACTGATGTCTTCTCCAACACTTAATAAATCCTGTTCCACAAATCTGTGTTCTTTCAGCCTTTCATCAGACTCTTCATTAAGGCGTTTGAGTTCAGTCTTCAACTCCTGCAGCTTTGCTATGTGTTCATTAAGAGCTGAAACATTCAAATATGAAAACTTTTACACTTTGAAGTCACTAATGATCATAATCTCTCCTTATCTTACCTCCATGTCACAATGTGGAGATCTGTTTGGTTCACGTGATCTTGATAAAATACTACCTATAAAATAATACCACCCTGCCTGGGAGGGAAATAAATCCCTTATACCCTGCCACAAAGAAAACCGGTTGCTCATTTTTGAGCGGGGTAATAAATCTCTTGCACCCCACTACGAAGCGAAAAGCTGCATGTTGTTTGCGAGGCAATGTAAATACTGTGACTCAGCCAAATTAAACAATCAATTCTATCAATTTTCAATTTGTGTTAATTCTTTTACAAAGGCAGATTGAAAATTGTCTGAAAGAGGCAAGTGGTACATAACCGAATGCAGGACGCACAAAACCACATATACCCCTCGTGATACTGCTAAAAGCCTAAAACTTGTTTCTTTATCAAAATACAATGAATGTTACAAGAACTACCAGTACATGTAGCAGTAAAGGTCATGTACAATTCCTTACAGGTGACAATTACACGGTGACTATATTTGAATATGATAATAATGTTAACACAATTCCCTTTTTCCTTTCATGAGAGTTATCTGTGACAAACAAAAGCAATTTCAGTCTGAACCGATCTGTCCCATGTTAAACAATGTGAAAGGTATCCATGGGGCAAACAAGGGCTATTATTCAGCTATAGATCTTCAGCAAATGTTCATGAAACTTCCCAAATTATAAAAGCAAGAGGTAGAATCTAGATGCAGTACCTGCAGTGATAGTTTTCGCTACTCACTTGGAGTAGCCTTTAGCGATAAGTGACTTCTGCATGTGACAGATGCATAGATGGAGCCACTGAAGGTACGGCTGAAGTAGGTCTTCCAAAAGCGGTAGACGAGAGAATTGTCTGTTGGCTAGCCTTAGCATGGTGGGGAACCAGTTGTTTGTTGGTCAAAAGGGTGTGACCAAAGTCAGAGATAGGTGACTGGTGGCTTCTACCTTCTGTAGGACACAGGGAAGAGCGCTTGTCAGAGGGAATGTGTAGGCATTAAGGTTCTCCAACAGGATAGACAAAGCATCGTGATCCAAAGCCTGTGGGTCAGGGATTGGGGAAATGAATCGGGAAGCTGAGCGCTGAACCGGGTGGCAAACAAATCTCTGGGGTCCATTATAATTGGCAGATCCATTTGAAGTTCGTTGGGTGCAGGAACCACTCCACTGGCAACGGTCTGTCGGGTCGGGACACGGAGACTACTATAACACGTGGCGAGCCTGGGCATGGATGTTGAGAGTCAATGAGTTGGAAGAACTCTAGAACAATCGAGGAGTGACATTGACTTTGTGGATCCCATTCGATTTATGTACCACATAACAGCAGTGTTGTTGGACTGTATCATCGGGTGCAAGGAGCTCTTTTCAGTGCGTTACTGCTAGAATGACCGCCTTGAACTTGAGATTGCTGATGTGAAGGCAACAATCCTTGGTGAGTACCAACGTCCTGCTACTCAAAGATCATCAAAATGCGCTCCCAAACCTACTGTTTATGCCTCTACGAACAGATGAAGTGACGTGACGAATGGCCTCAAAGAGACTCAGCAACAAACGTTCGATTCGACTAACCACCACTGTAGATGTGGGTGAGATGGAGCAGCTGGGAGATCTTCATCAAAAAAATTGTTGATCAAGATAATCGACGCAAGATAGCATTGAAGTGGTCATAGATGCATTTGTCCTCAGACGGTGAGGGCTTGTAGGAATATTATGATGGGCCGAGTAAGGTGGGAAAATAGCCACAGGGCTGAAGAAATTCCAAACGAGAGCACCTTCCATTGGTAATGGTGGCCTTGAAAAATAAACCAAAGGAAATGGTGGTGCTCAGGTGGATGGGGACGTGCAGATAGGCTCCTTGTATACACCACTGGGTAGGCGTGCGAGGATCAACCACTGTCGAGATTAAACACACTGGTCCAGGAGGGGGTCAAGTGGGTGGTGACTGGAGCTTGGTCTATGCCAGAAGTCTGTGGGATGGAAGAGAGACCTGAACATGGAGATCGCCGAAAGTTGGTAAGACTTGAGGTTAAGACCGGTGGCCAGGAGGAACCCGGCATGGTAATGTTTGTGCCATACGAGAGCAACTTCAGGAGTGGTGACATGCCCATTCTGAATCTGGAGTTCGTGGATTATCTCTGTAAGTATGACAAAGCAGAGACTGATTGGGGTCTGTAGTGGATTGGTAATCTGCAAATCCTGGAGGGTACAGGTATCCTTATCTCGGGTAGTACATCGTGTAGTAAGGTGGTGTTCAGAAAGAGAATGAGTTGGTAGAGAGACACGTGGTCGATCATGGAAGGTTACCATGCACGAGAGGCATGTAAATGACCATGCTGGGGGCGTAACCATGGAGTTGCTAGGGGTGTTCGGGAGATTGTTTTTTATTTAGAAGCTGGAAACAATGTTCAAGCACGTTTCCACATAGGATCGAAGAAGAAAGAAGATATGCATACTGTGAGATAGGATAAGTTTTAAAATTGGGTTTTATCCTATTATTTATTTGAATATCCTACATAAATCCCAAATGTTATTCGGAAAACTGATCGAGTGTCTGGGCAATCATTTTATAAAGAATGAAGGATACTTGTCTAGTTTCCCTTAAAAAAAAGTTCGAAGTTGAAACAAGAAACAGAACCAGCTCATATATGTAGAAGAGGGTGGACATAAGTATATTTCCAATTAATTCAAACACAATATCTTATCCTTGTTTTCCACTCTTACAACACGTAAAAAAATCAATGTTAATCTCAACTGTAAAACAAGATACATTAAATGAGAAATAACCATAAGTTACATCTGATTATTATAAACATCAGTATGATCAGTATTACCCTGATTACACAAGAGTCTGTTTTTCACAGATTTGACCGAATACAACTGCATATGGTTGCTTACCCCTTTTGCTGACTTGACACTTATGTCGGAGATCATTCAATCCATCCTCATGATCCTTCTTTTCCTCTGTAAATATATGAATAAAGAAAGATTAAAATTTAGTAACATCTTAATATATTTTACATTTGTTTACTTATCCTGCATTACTCCTTACTGCATTTACTGCTGTTTTCTGACAAAAAGACAATCTGTGAGAGGTCCAGCTGCTGAAGAAAAGTTGTTCCAACCAGTTGACTGGCAGTGCCCTCACACAGACGGCACGTGACCTGGAATGTCACATAAGAGCACATTACTGCTTCAAACATAACATCTGAAACTTCGTGGGGAGGTATCTTTACTTTAGACGCAGTAATGCAGGATAAGTATACAAATGTAAAATGTCGAGATTTCACTAAAAAAAATTAACTTACCCTGCATTACTCCTTAATGCATCTTTATCAGACAGTACGGCAGGTGTTTATACCTTCAGATGTGATCTACAATAAACTCTCTATAGGCACCCGCCAATCAGCAAAGGCGATGTCAGGCATCGAGTGGCCATTCCTGTCAGCAGGCCGAGAGAGAGTGAAGTATGCGGGAAGTCCAGGTGTCATTGCAGTAATAAAATTTAGCTGAAGTAAGAACTAGAACTGATGAACCAAGCCAATGCATGCAGCATGTAACCTTCTAGTCTGGGGTGACATGCACCAGAGTTCAAAAGGTTGGCTCCAGACATGAGGGAGACTCGGAGGCACTTTAGGGTGGATGCCTGCTGAGCAAACTACCAAAGAGCCAAAGCTGTGGATGCTTTCCACATCTTCCAAAGCGACAACTCGCAGGAAGTGGCTGGTGAGGACGGTGTCTCCATAATTCCGCAGATGGAGTAGTTGCTGTAAAGCGCCAGGGTATAGGCGATCGCCCGGTCTTGTGTGGGTTGCTGTCTCTAGGGGGTCCAGTCCTGTGAAGAATGCGAAGCTAAGGGGCAATCATGTGGCAGCTGACTTCCACCTGCAATGTCCGAGATACCGGGATGAAATGGCGGCAGCATTGGCTTTGACGATCCTTGGAGCGCCGAATGAAGAATGTTGTCCCCTGATGACGTAGGCACCAGATCATCGTGAGTTGAGGGTACTAGATGGCAAGTGGAGGGTACCAGAAGTGCTCATGCCAGTGTGATATCGCCTGAGCGCATTTAACTCCAAGTTGTTGATGTGCCAAGGGCACTGAGCGTCAGACCACCGGCTTGAGGTCGTCTGGCCTCTAGAGGCACACCTCAACCTGTAGAGGCCTCTACGAACAGGTGGGGTGTCGGGAATAACTCTGTTTAATTGGACGATGGACTCTACCATCCACCAGCTGAAATGACTCCTGAGGTGAAGGGGTAGACCAACAGATAGGCCAAGTGTCCTGACCTCTTTAAGTAAGGCGCCTGGAACTGTTGGATTGGACGCAAGAGTAGTCGACCTCAGCCACGTCACAGTGTGGGCTGGAGTGAGCAATCCCAGGAGCACTTGCCACTGACAAAATGTAAGCGGCTGTTGAAGAGTTGGTAGCAGAAGTTAGATGAGGCTGTCTACGAGACGGTAAAGTTGAAAAGTCAACATCAGAGGGGTCTCTGATCATGTCATGCCTTGACGATACGCCTGCAAACCAAAGCCAAACCCTATGTAGACAAAATAAACCCGCTCCTTAACCGATTGCCGAAGCATCAACGAAACCAGTTAGTGGAAGTCTAAGCTGTATCCAAAAGCTAAGTGGTTCTAAAAGATCGCAACAGTAAGATGACCAGTTCCATCCCATGTGTGTTGTATAAGCACTCCCGTTGACGACGAAGGGAGGTGTCTCGTTACTCCCCGTGTAATCAACGGACAACGGCACGGTCATGGGAAGAATCATAAAATTGATGCTGTATCTCGTAGATAAAGATGAATAGATACTGTATGCTTTAATCACAGAATACATGTCCGTCCAAGTAGGCTAACAAAGCAGTTATGTGCTCTTATGTGACATCATCGCTTCCAGGTCACGTGCCGTCTGTGTGAGGGCACTGCCAGTCAACTGGTTGGAACATATTTTCTTCAGAAGCTGGACCTCTCACAGATCGTCTTTCTGTCAAAAAAAACAGCAGTAAATGCAGTAAGGAGTAATGCAGGATAAGTTAAAAAAAATAGTAAGTGACAGAAACACTGGGAAACACAGTGGGAATACCCTTTCTGCACATGATTTACTTCAAGCAAATAATTCGAAAATCAACACTTTTATAAGAAAATATTTATTGCTAAGTCAGTACCGATAAGTTTTGACATATTTCATGTCAAAAGACACAAGAGTGAAATTCTTTTTACCATCCAAAATCATTTTTCCAACTTGTTCAGTGTCGTACTGCTAACCAGCTTCAGTGGTAGAGAGATTAGTGATGTCATTTGTGGAGTGAAGGCTGCTTAACAAAATAATGCAGTTAGCTGCTTTATATTCACATTGAGGGTAATGTTTCAAACCACTCATTAAAGCATGTCAACAAGCTATCTTGTACATAATTTATTTTAGCAGGGTATCAACTTAAACGGAAACACTATCTAGCCCCAGGAGAACTAATGTGAGGACACCCCCTAAAATGCCTGAAATTGTACAAACTCTGAATCGGGATAACATCCCATGGCAATACAAGTATTAAATCCGAGATATTTTGACCGACCAAGTGAATCCTGAAGGAGTTTGCTGGAAGTCAGTGCAAGATCTTGGGTCAACTGTCGTAGTTCATCTCCCGTCCAGTGGTTGAACTTCTCTCTGGCTTCTTGCAGCTTGGAACGAAATGTCTCTACTTCTTTCTGGTAATCCATTGTGGTCTTCAGCTACTCCTCACTGCCTGGAACATCTAGGGGAAGAGGACTGCCATGTTAGTCATCTCTGTCTCATTTGCATAAGAAGTCTAACTAATGCAGAACATTTAGGTGCTATCATGTACTGTAGTACTGTTAGAAGAGTTCAGGGGTCAGGTGGTGTTTTGGCTATTGTATCTTAATCTAGATGCCTTAAATCCTCCCAAGTCAACATGAGGATTGTGACAAGATTGTATATATAGCTTAAACAGCAAATCAAAAAGACACCAATCAATCATGGTGAAAAAACCCCAGAACATGCACTGACGAAAAAAAACAGAACCATGTCCCAGCAACATCATACAATAAACATTTTGATAACTTTGTTTCAAATTAGACAAAAGTGCAATATTTCATATTCTAGTGTACTTTATATATAAAAAATATACAGCATGGCCATAATAAACAAATCAAACACCCTGCCTCCCATCATGTGACTGTCACTGATACCTAAACACAAAAAGTATCATTATTAGAAGGATGTTAGAGAGGGATGCATAAGAGTTGTGGAGAGGGTCTATGGGGTTCTACTCTCTTCTCAGAATGCTTTTGGATACCAAGGGTAGTTATCAAGGGTAATGGTTGGCCCAGTCATCTAAGACGCCAGAATTTGCTGTGCAGAGTTGCATCCCTTAGGTGTACCAGAAACCTATGACCGTGGGTTTGAATCCCAGATTCACATTGATTGCTTCTAGGGTTGCCACCACAACTGTGCTCATGTGTTTCACAAAAGTGGTAAATGTCTAAGACTTGCATCACTTTCCTCCAAACCAAGCTGGCACGTCATTATTATTAAAATACTGTTCAAAAGCTACATTAACTCAGCAATATTCTAGCTGTATGAGGATGGTGAAAAGGGGAAGGACCAGGATATAGCATGTCTCCCTATTTTATAACAGGTGAGAGAAAAACAAGATAATTTTATGCGGCCTTATTCAGTTATTTTAGGGTTTTTGGTATGCATCAGAGCTCCAGATAAGCTTTTGGTGTTGTGGGTATTTTACCCATGCATTTTAAAATCATTGGGTATCAGTAATTCTATCTGCGTATTCAAATTTCTGTTACCCACTAGTTTTTACACATGTGGGTATTTAAGTTAAATATTTAAAAACACTATTCGTCTAGTCCCTGCAAACTGGTGTCTTGTGGGTTTGAGAGCTTTATAGGACTCAAAAATACCACGATACTTCCACACGAAAGTGTGATGGCAAATGATCATGATGTGAGTGTCATCGTGGAGTTTGGCAAGGTTGACGGAATGCCCGTTTATAATTTCAAAATAAGTTGCTGATTTGCTAATCGAATACACAGGGTTACTTCACAATATTTTGATGATACGCACAAATTTTATTTTTGTAGCGTATCTGTAATGTTCGTTGCGTATTTGATACGCTTGGATTATATTTTACTGCATATTTCTGCATTTCTGATGCGTATTTCACGCAGATACGCAGCTTATCTGAAGCTCTGATGCATGGTAACCTGTGAAAAGCGAACCCTTCCAAAATATGTTATACATGATCATAAGCAGTCGCCATGGATTAGATTACTTTAGTATATGGCTCTGGGTAGCCGTCAAAGAATCATATTCCCATATACATATAAATATTAATACAGCAATCTCTTCTCCTCTTCTACTTGCATAGTGCCATCCAGTGCCAGTATTGGTTGTTAACTAGAGCCCAAAGGTTGTCCATAACAATGTTTACCAAGGGTGAGTTATGACAATTTAGAAAAGACTGTACGATGCACAGGCCGCCAATGCATGTCAATAATATCGGTGAATATAAATTGGCTTCGTGAGTCAACCCCCATTACACAGAAAAAGAACTGATGTGACTGGTTTGCTTCGCCATGGCAATATCTTTTATTTGCATCAGGTTCCTGGTATGACCTACACTCCTCGGCCATAAGTAAATTCCCAAAATGGTTGAAGTTATCAATATAAATCACATCACAAACTATGTATTGCCTCTTGCGGTTCATGAAGGGTCTTGATGTCTGTAACTCACAGAAAACTTTTTACAAGGTGTGTTTTATGCCTCTTCACCATTTTTATGATTATACCCTTTTGTTTACAATTAGTTGTCTGCTTCTGCAATGGCACTGCATAGCAGGGAAATTACACTTTACCAAAAGAAAAAAATTATCAATCTGTCAAATGACGGTTATTCCGGACCACAAAATTGCAGTTGTGACAGGTATTAATAGAACAAATACAAAATTTCATGAAGGAGCTGAACAACCGCGATTCATTTAAAAATAAGCCTCGAAAGTGGGCGGCACAGAAAAACAGTTCCAAATGCAGATCAGGTGCTTCTTCGCATACTTTAATTGAACTGAAGACAAACACTCGGAGAATTGACAACAAAATTTAACAACAAAAAAACAATCAAATTTGTGATCTAGAACTGTCAGAAGGCATTTGTTTCAAAAAGGGTTCAACCGCTGCATTGTGTAAAGAAAAAAGAACTGTATCACCTGTGTTATGAGTCAAGAGGATTCAGTTCAGCAGAACAAAACTTCACTGGACAGTTGATAATAATTAGTCAAACCTCACATCACTGCTTATATTTAGTGATGAGACTCAAAGTGGGATTAGTAAAGACCAAAAAGTGCATATTTGTAGAACATGTGGACAACGTTGAGTGCCCAAACATCAATATTTTAGAAAAAGTTTGGAAAGTAATGAAATATAAAATGGCAAGACGTTTGAGGGGAGAACAAACATAAAAATTATCTGATATCATGTAGTAAGTGACATAGTGATGCTATTTTATTAGCACCTCATTATATGGGAGGTGGCAAATATGTAGACGCCACCAACTCATAGACATAACTTACTGTGAACTCGTAAACCACCCAGGGAGTGAATTCTAGACACATTTCTTGTATTAGAATTGAATAATAATTATTACTATCCATCACTTAGCTCAACAGTTTCTTGGTACATGGCATATGATCAGTTGTCACTTCGTAAATGAAAGACATTTTCACTGGTTGCAAGTTTTGTGTAGGTTTCTGAGTGATTGTTTTCACATGGTTATTTTGTGGATAGTGTTAAATAAAAATATGGAGTGGAGTGGATTACCGCAATAATTAATTTGTTGTGAGGATTTGCAGGACCCTTTGTAACTACTATTATAAACAATGATCAGCTAAGCATATCCAAGCTGCGAAGGACAATTGGGAAGTTGTAATATTCAATATGTACATATGAAATTATTATTGAGTAATATTTCTCTATTGTATTTATTTTTTTATGAGTTCACCGTAAATTTTGTCTACGAGTTTTCTCCATAACTACAAATTGGTTTGGTAACGAATTCACCTGCACTGGTCCCAGCCTTATTATAGGCCTATACAGAGCCTCTTTCAGAGTATCCGATATGTGTTGCGACTACGAACACGTATCACTAAATACTAAAATTTCAGGTATTTCCATCAAATACTTTTCGATATTTTACTTGTCAAAGTTATCCCAGCATTCCGTCTTGGGAACTTGCTGATGGCAAAGGCGAATAGATCTATGTACGTCTTTGCTTTTGGCTGAAGAGTGAGTATAGATACTAGATCTAGTATCGACGATACTATTGTCATCGGAATAGATTCGCTTACTTTGCGATGGCATATATATATATAATATATACATAAACAAGCATATCATAAGCGCTGCATGAATATACGGACCACCAAGTCATACGGTTAGTGATAACGTTGGTAAAGCCTCTCACATTCATTTGTCAACACTGTGACTGTCAACGACTGCAGACTTGAAAATGGCGCTCTCGTATACCGGATGTACATCATCTATGACGTAGTCCACAGATGCCCGATGCGTTTTTTGCGTGGAAGTGTTCTGACCAGGCTATGTTGTAAACTCCATGCAGCGACATTCACAGTTAAGGTTGCACGAAGTTTAATACGCTATCACCGGGTACATAGCCTCGCTATAAATAGTATTTATTTCACAATACATGTTTTGTTTTACTCTTCTAATGACATGTAACACTCTTTTTTAGATTAAATCAAAGTTACAACTAGACATTTTCTTCTTTTGAAAAAAAAGAAGATGCTATTCAGTATTGGAATAGAATGTTCAAGGATATAGGTCTAAAAGAATTTATTCATTGTCCGAATGGTAACATTAATATGAAATATATTTAAAGGACCTTATTACCTTGGTGTTTTTTATCCAATCTGCAATGATGATGTTATCTTGAACCCATTGTGTCGGGTGTGAGGTGAGATTTGTGGGCGTATAATATATGTCTTAAATGTATTAAATTTCCAAAGTTTGTTTTATAGTACAAAAATACGTGTGTTAAAAGATTAGTCCATTAAAGAAGTCCTTGGGGTAATAATGTATGCACTGTATTGTTGTACATTGTGAATCCGCCTTGCTGGTGTTGCTGCCATGTAAATAAATATATATACATGTATACTTGATGTTGATATGACAAAGTCTGTGACCAAAAAGGTTAAGAAAGTTATGTCTGTGTCATGGGGATGTATGTTGATAGTACAAATTTAGAAAGTTTGGAAAGGATCTTATATTTGCATGTTTAATTCTGTTCATTAAATAAGTAAGTAACTGACATTTAAGTAGCAACTGGTCACAAATGGTAATTATATGATTTCTTCACTTAAAGGGCAAGTTCACACGGAAATGAACCAATTTTTCTTGTACTTTTTCCACATTAAAAGTGTTAACATAGAAGTGTCATAGACAAAAATATAAAAACATCATATTTAATTAACATATTTTTTGCATTAAAACGATTTATATTTTTCACATTTACCAAGTGTTCTATTTCCATAACAAAAACACCATGGCTTATGCCCCTTGCAATATGACGTCATTGGTGCCAATTGATAAACATTATGACGTCATCATGCTTTGTTAGAGCCGCTTCACGTAGTGTAGGTACAGTTTTGTGATTCTAGCGTCTCAGATGCCAGCCAGAATTGTGTTATGCTGAGTCACCACTGCGCCGGAGTGTGTCGTAGACCATGTTGTTTTACCGCAAACTGGTCCTTGATATCTTTTGCGTTGAGAATAGACAGGGACCCAGTTGAACTGGCACCAATTACGTCATAATCTAAGGGGGATAACTCAGGCCTATTTCGCTCGTAAAACGAAGGCCTCATAACGACATATCATTTTAACACTATTGTGAGCTTCCTACTTTCCCTGTGAAAAAAATGAGCGTATATTTTCAAACACAGATACTAACTAATTCTAAAATTGTGTTTTGTTTAGAAAAAGAAAGAAAGTGATTTTTGCGTGTACACTTCCCCTTTAAGGGTTCAACAGTCACCTCCTTATCAAATTCCCAACAGGTGAAAGCCACATGGATGTTAAAAAGGAAATATTTAACATTCAAACTGATTTTTTGTCCAACAGTTACTACAATTGTGTTGTATAATTGGTGTTATGTTCATATTTTCATTTCAGAGAAGAATACATTTGTACTTTTCAAAAGACGTTTTCTTGCACAAAACCATATGACAAACTGTTGACAACAATCAGTATATTTGATTATTTTTCAAGGCCCAAACAGTTTGTTGACAAACTATTAACAAGATGGTTTTTTTATAAGGGTAAATATGGTAAAGAAGGTAATATATTTAATATAATATAAAATGACACTATGGCCATCAATATGTCAACAAAACCATATTACAGAGTCTAGTGGATAGAGCATCTGCCCATTGAACAGATGGGGTGAGGTGAAATTGGGTTTAACGTCGCGTCCAAGATTATTGCACTTATATAGCGACGTGCATGCACGTGTATGTGTGTGGCTGCTTGTACTAGTCAGGACTGATGCCGATTTATAGTGCTAGCTCACTGAGATACCATGCCGCAGTTTAACATGAATACCCCACTCAGACACAGTACACTGACTCCAGCCGACCAGTCCTTGTTTTAGCCCCTTAATGCCGAGCGCCAGACAGGGTAACAACAAGTACAATCTTTTAACGTCTTTTTGTTTGACGCAGCCCGGGATCGAACCCTGGACCTTCCACTCTCCGGGCGGACGCTCTACCACAAGACCACGGAGGCGGTCCATTGAACAGATGGAGCGTGGTTCTATCATACCAAAAGATGGTACTTGTTGTTACCCTCCATGGTGCTCAGCATTGAGGGCACAAAACAAGGACTGGTAGCCACCGAGTCAGTTCGCTGTGTGTGAGGGGGTATCCAGGTTAAAATGCAGCATGGTATCTCAGTGGACTAGCACTATAAAACCGGGACTAGTAGAAGCAGCCACACACACATGTGCAGGCATCTTACAATATAAGTGAAATAATCTTGAATGCAACATTAAATACCCAACACTGCTTACCAGTAATATGAACACAAAACACATGTGATCTCATGAAAACTTTATTTACACATTGGAAGTCTAATTCTAGCAGTTGCACAATGGAACTTGTTTTAAACAGTAGGGCTGTAACAAGTCCCTTCAGCCTCAGTGTTGTAAACCCACAGTCTACAAAACAAATGTCACAAGAAACAGTTTACATTTTATTAAAGGACATGAACCAGTGTTGTCAAACAGATTTCAGTTTAATAGACCAAATCTATTCAATTGTGGGTTGGGTCTCTGGCCACACGTAGGAATACAACTAAACACCAGGGGTATGAAATACTGTATTGCACCATATCACTACATGCTCACCTAGCATATACACGAGCAATGATGTTCAGATGTTTCAGGACACACAATGTTCTGCTTTATCAAAGGGATTTGACAAAACATGACATCAAATGATGCAATAATAATATTTGTTCACAAGAATCCTGATTCTACATTGCAAATTGGTTGCTTTTCCAACAGATGGGTCTTCCTATCTGACATGCTGCTCTACCAACAAAAGCAATGACAGCTCATCATTTCACAGGCAGCCTCTTTTGGCAAGGATGCATTAGTGAAGCCCACCAAGGGTGATGTAGCAGACGGCCCCAAGTCTCCAGGGGGGCAGAATTTGGGTAGCAGCAGTGTGAACTGCATGGGTGTTCTCCCACACTCCATACAGTGTCAACTACTCCACTCTACTAGCAGAGCCACAACTGAGAGTTTTACACCCCTCCCACTGGTCACAAAATCCTGCCTTTAGTAAGTGGAGTGTAGATGCTAGCAGGAATACAACTGATAATTTCTTTACATGATTGTGTATTGGATGGGAATTATTATCCTACATCATAACTCACTGGAACAGTTCACATATAGACATACTGTCACCCAAATTCATTAGTCATTCAAAACATTTCAATACATTGTAAAGTAAAACCTTCTTAAAACATAATTCATCTATTTATTGCTGACTACAGCGACAAAATTGTCAGTCTATAAATGTTTTGATTCTGATAAATGGAATATCTTTAGTTGTTCCTGTTATTCATATAAAATGCTGTGTACATTCAGTCTAATTGGGCTGGCATCAAAACAGTAATAAAATCAGGTAATCAGAACCACAACTACTATTTTCAGCTGGTCCGACATTTTCCCTATTTTAGTACAATTCAAGAAGTTCTATTGATATGGGTCAGACACATACGATCAATACAGTCTACACAGGGTCCCTTGTCTCCTCTGAGAATGGTGTACACAGGGACCCTTGTTTCCTCTGAGAAGGGTGTACACAGGGTCCCTTGTCTCCTCTGAGAAGGGTGTACACAGGGTCCCTTGTCTCCTCTGAGAAGGGTGTACACAGGGTCCCTTGTCTCCTCTGAGAAGGGTGTACACAGGGTCCCTTGTCTCCTCTGAGAAGGGTGTACACAGGGTCCCTTGTTTCCTCTGAGAAGGGTGTACACAGGGTCCCTTGTCTCCTCTGTGAAGGGTGTACACAGGGTCCCTTGTTTCCCCTGAGAAGGGTGTACACAGGGTCCCTTGTTTCCTCTGAGAAGGTGTACACAGGGTCCCTTGTCTCCTCTGAGAAGGGTGTACACAGGGTCCCTTGTCTCCTCTGAGAAGGGTGTACACAGGGTCCCTTGTCTCCTCTGAGAAGGGTGTACACAGGGTCCCTAGTCTCCTCTGAGAAGGGTGTACACAGGGTCCCTTGTTTCCTCTGAGAAGGGTGTACACAGGGTCCCTTGTCTCCTCTGTGAAGGGTGTACACAGGGTCCCTTGTTTCCCCTGAGAAGGGTGTACACAGGGTCCCTTGTTTCCTCTGAGAAGGTGTACACAGGGTCCCTTGTCTCCTCTGAGAAGGGTGTACACAGGGTCCCTTGTCTCCTCTGAGAAGGGTGTACACAGGGTCCCTTGTTTCATCTGAGAAGGGTGTACACAGGGTCCCTTGTCTCCTCTGAGAAGGGTGTACACAGGGTCCCTTGTTTCCCCTGAGAAGGGTGTACACAGGGTCCCTTGTTTCCTCTGAGAAGGTGTACACAGGGTCCCTTGTTTCCTCTGAGAAGGGTGTACACAGGGTACCTTGTTCCCTCTGAGAAGGGTGTACACAGGGTCCCTTGTTTCCCCTGAGAAGGGTGTACACAGGGTCCCTTGTCTCCTCTGAGAAGGGTGTACACAGGGTCCCTTGTTTCCCCTGAGAAGGGTGTACACAGGGTCCCTTGTTCCCCCTGAGAAGGGTGTACACAGGGTCCCTTGTTTCCTCTGAGAAGGGTGTACACAGGGTCCCTTGTCTCCTCTGAGAAGGGTGTACACAGGGTCCCTTGTTTCCTCTGAGAAGGGTGTACACAGGGTCCCTTGTCTCCTCTGAGAAGGGTGTACACAGGGTCCCTTGTTTCCCCTGAGAAGGGTGTACACAGGGTCCCTTGTTCCCTCTGAGAAGGGTGTACACAGGGTCCCTTGTCTCCTCTGAGAAGGGTGTACACAGGGTCCCTTGTCTCCTCTGAGAAGGGTGTACACAGGGTCCCTTTTCCCCTCTGAGAAGGGTGTACACAGGGTCCCTTGTTCCCTCTGAGAAGGGTGTACATAGGGTCCCTTGTCTCCTCTGAGAAGGGTGTACACAGGGTACCTTGTCTCCTCTGAGAAGGGTGTACACAGGGTCCCTTGTCTCCTCTGAGAAGGGTGTACACAGGGTCCCTTGTCTCCTCTGAGAAGGGTGTACACAGGGTCCCTTGTTTCCTCTGAGAAGGGTGTACACAGGGTCCCTTGTCTCCTCTGAGAAGGGTGTACACAGGGTCCCTTGTTTCCCCTGAGAAGGGTGTACACAGGGTCCCTTGTTCCCTCTGAGAAGGGTGTACACAGGGTCCCTTGTCTCCTCTGAGAAGGGTGTACACAGGGTCCCTTGTCTCCTCTGAGAAGGGTGTACACAGGGTCCCTTTTCCCCTCTGAGAAGGGTGTACACAGGGTCCCTTGTTCCCTCTGAGAAGGGTGTACATAGGGTCCCTTGTCTCCTCTGAGAAGGGTGTACACAGGGTACCTTGTCTCCTCTGAGAAGGGTGTACACAGGGTCCCTTGTCTCCTCTGAGAAGGGTGTACACAGGGTCCCTTGTCTCCTCTGAGAAGGGTGTACACAGGGTCCCTTGTCTCCTCTGAGAAGGGTGTACACAGGGACCCTTGTTTCCTCTGAGAAGGGTGTACACAGGGTCCCTTGTCTCCTCTGAGAAGGGTGTACACAGGGTCCCTTGTCTCCTCTGAGAAGGGTGTACACAGGGTCCCTTGTCTCCTCTGAGAAGGGTGTACACAGGGAACAAGTCTCCTCTGAGAAGGGTGTACACAGGGTCCCTTGTTTCCTCTGAGAAGGGTGTACACAGGGTCCCTTGTCTCCTCTGAGAAGGGTGTACACAGGGTCCCTTGTCTCCTCTGAGAAGGGTGTACACAGGGTCCCTTGTTCCCTCTGAGAAGGGTGTACACAGGGTCCCTTGTTTCCCCTGAGAAGGGTGTACACAGGGTCCCTTGTTTCCTCTGAGAAGGGTGTACACAGGGTCCCTTGTCTCCTCTGAGAAGGGTGTACACCCATGAAAACAAACACATTCTGTGCTCACTCACTTTTCCGAGAAACATTGGGGATTCAATTACCAGAGGAAAGATGAAGCAAAACATTTAAACTGTCCGTCGTAAGGATGGGATGATGACAGTACAACCAAAATATTGAGGATTTGCTGTACAATATGTTCTATTGACAAATATATTTAAAATAATAAAAATAAATATTATATACAAGGATAGATAAGCAAGCACCACATCAGATCAGTTAATTCATAAGCAACATTACTCATTCTTTCATCACAGCCGAAACTTATGCTGTGCTGAGACATATCACGTAACTTGTAAAATCATGGACATAATTATATATCTGAGATTTAAAGGATATATTTATCAAAGCATATATTTATTTTACTAAACACTACGCAAGAAATGTTTCCAGGGAATGATATTAATCCAGCTACACTGACATCATGAGTACATCAAGTACAAATGAAATGTTTTCAAAAATAGGAAGTTCTTTTTTTAACTTTTCATTTCATTGAAATGTTTGTTTTCACCCAAACCTCAAAGGATAAACTTTTATAGACCAAGTGATACAGAGGACAGAATATCAGTATCTCTCTTCACCCATTTCCGTGGCAACCCTATTGTTGTGGTATTTGATATGCTTTAGGACTCACTAGAGGCACTTTACAGGTGAGAAGACAGTGGATAGTTCAGATACAGTTCAAGGGATGACAACTGAAGTGCTGATTACTTGTAGCATCATATTTGTCATACCACAGGAACTGGTTATGCAAGGCTATGTTCTGAAGAAATGTAAGAGATTCCTACCACACAAATGTTATGTACCAATCTCATTAAAATCAGACCCCAGTTTTCGCTTCCGCTAAACAAAGATCTGATTCTAATCATGCAATTTCGAAAACTTTAACACAGGGTATTCTAAACGATGGTTACAGGTTTAACGACTGAATCCATACAATCTAGACCATCTATAAGCCATTCCAGAATCTTCTTTTGTTTAGCTCTCAAATTTGTAATCGGGAATTTGTCAAAATAGGTTTCGAAGCGTAGTCGCCAATTTGAAATTAGTGCCGTAAAGCACGAGAAAGCTTCCTCCTGATTGGTCATTCCATTGGTCGGTCAAAGTTCCATAAGGTTGGTCTGACGTGACCCGTAATGGGATGTCCTCAGATCTTTGTTTAGCGGTATAACGAGAACTAAGATCTGATTTTAATGAGATTGGTTATGTACAGATACCAAGTTACCCTATTGACTTGAAAGTCTGAATTTAATTGAGTTGACTGAATATGAGAATCAAATCCAGTGCTCCAAACTCTAACAGAATGTTCAGATATATTACAGATTTGTATTGAAAGAAACTTTTGACTGGACTGAAGTGTAGATAGGATGTAATGATCAGCTAAGTCATGTTAGTAAATAACACACATATGTTCTATACATTCTTAATTATATACCAACACATATAGATCTGCCACCTAGTCCAGTAATGTTACAAGATTACACAGATACCAAGTTCATATGGGCTCATGAAATGGGATACATACAAATATATGTGTGAAGGTTAATATAGATGCTAATTAAACCCCTCTTTGTCGCCTCAGTGTCACTGTGCAATATTCAGAAAACATGTCTTTCCTATATACCTATACTGTCACAAGAAAATGTGTCATTTGACTTGTCCTTACAAGTAGAATGTATACAAACTTCTGAAAATGTTAAATATTGACTGACAAACTAGGAATTGGCTGTCACATGTCCTTATCTGGTTCACAGGATCACAGTTGTCTCCGCGTTAAGAAACAACTTTCAACATCATTGTTCCCTCTCGTCTGTTCATAAATGACTGAAGGGATTTGGTTGCTTTAAGAGTATTAATCTTTTTGTCAATGCCTTATCAGAGATTACATTATACCAAGGAGGAAGACACAGACTTAAGCAGGTCGTATGCTTTTATCCCATTTCTGGAATGGATAGGCTACTGAGTGAGTGAGTTAATATTTAAAGTCACATCTGCAATATTTCAGCCATATAGTGACAGATAAGCTACTCAGCTACTGAGTAACCATGTCTCATAAAAAGAGCGGATCTGGGAACTCACAACCAGGCACGGGCAGCCAAAGACAGCAACGTTTTAACAGTGGCATTGCAGTAAACACCTGTTACCAATGCTTCCAACCACACTTGTAAACATGAGTACACCAATATCTACCAAATTTAAGGCATGCAAGAGACACTTTTGTTTTTGACTTTGTCCACACCAATTTCTAAGTATTGAGCTTAACACAAATCTGCATTCAATTTGCAAAAAAAAACATTTTCTACAAGTCATTTCTGTGTTCAACTGATAATGGGCTTATTGGGAACACTTTGGTTTGTATTTTTATTTAGATTTATTTTCCAAAATACACAAGAAGCATTCACTTCTGTCGGAGAATAGATCAGGTTCATCACATTGCAGTGATCATGCAAAAGAAAAGCACACCAACATAGATAATCACAAAGCAATTTCTTTCAAGTTGGGATCGTTTGCCATTTTCTACAATCATAGGATTTGTGCAGGGACACATCAAACAATACAGCCATTCAGAAACAAACCCCATTCATACAGATTTTCTCAAAAGCAAATGTTTGGTCCATATTTATTGATTTGTATTATTTTCGAAAAGACTCCCTCCAACAAAGACTTCCTAACCTTGATCACAAATACAGAAATAATACTAACTTAGTGAGCCAATTTCCATAGACTGTCAAACCATAGCTTGCATACACATTTCAGTGTGAGAAATTCCATACTTCAGGTGATTGACTTCATATTTGAATGTATGAATAGGATACTCAGCTACTAGTGCAAACTGCTTTCTCTTTTGTACATACAGATGTGCAGAATTGTTTGCTCTGGGCGTTTATTACAGCGACACGGTAGTTGTTGACATAAGTCACTATTTTGTCTTCATTCACTTAGTAGTGTGCTTCGGTCTGTTTTCCCATTCTATTTCTCTTCGGAGCAATAACTAAAATTGCTTTTGTTACACTAAAATATGAATACAAGCTATTAGCTGTAGTTTCAGTGTGCTTGGTGCACTGGCTGTGGTAGATGTTGTATGCTACAGATACTAGCAAGCTTCAAGGCTAAGTAGAACGCTCCTTTCAACAGGTGCAGGTATCTTCCATACACTCTGATTCAATACATGGCCACAATCATCCAGCAACACAACACAGTAACATGTCTGATCTCCAATCTAGCTGGATATAATGTACTGAGAAGAAAAGTATTGATAAAAAGATTTATCAGGGGAACTTTTATTTTAGATATTCATAAAATTCCATAAATTACTGGTACTGTAATTGGTGACCTCCTTCAAATACTAATACACCTTATAGCTAAAATGGATAGAATTATCACTAAACCGCCCGCATGTTATCAGAAATGAGCGGGCCACTGTAACTTGATAATGCCCTTGATAATTATCACGCCCGTTGTTAGGTGATGTCATAGGATAGGGATAGGTGACATCACGTTCAATAGTGATGTCATCTGGTTTGTGCTATGAGGTTTCCATATTTGTAAAAGTGGGTCAGTGACATTCGTATTGATATGCAGTAAATGTTTCAAAACTGATCTTATTGTTTCTTTTTATTTGATAACAAATTCCATTCATTTTAGCTATAATAACGGTAACACTATTTTTCAGGGCATTATCATTTGCAGAAGCCCTCGGTCATCGGGCAGTTAATGGAAGACCTCGGACTTCTGCAAATGATAATGCCCTGAAAAATAGCTTTACCCTTATATTATTCTGATTTTATCCACATCAGGCCTCCCCTTTATGCCTAATTACCAAAGTTAATTAATTTAATTTTAAAAGTATATTGAACAATTTGTTTGTGAATGCATTGGGTACATCCCAACTGTTCCTTGTGGTGCATAACCTTTGTCTGTCCCTACCAGAGATATATTTCATAACACACCATGCAGCAATACACTAGCTTGGATCACCATACCACACTACACAAATACCATGGCCTTACTGCAGCCAGTATAGGCTACAGACACAACCAGGATACTGTTGGTTATTTACACCAAATATTCACGTATACAATGACACACAAAACCACAGGGTAGAAACCTAACCTACTGTACAAAATAAGCACACCTCATGTTAGTTGTTAAAATCTGAACATGTACTACCCTACATAGGAAAAATCTAAATAAAACTGTTCTGTGACAGGAAACAATACACAAAAATACTTGCTCTCTCAAAAGGTCAATGATTCAAGAAACTTGAAAAAAAAGAAGATACCATTACGTGTTCAGTTCTTTCAGGATTTTTTATTCAAGTCAAATATCTTTTAGAGACAACTTTGGCAAGTCTTTGTAAATAGGCAAATATCATCCCTCAGAAGCAGAAATGTATGCTGTTTTATTAAACCTGAATCTCTGTTGGACCAAACTATATTACAGTCTCTTGAAGACTTTTCTACCCAAAGTTGACTACGTAACAGACTGTACATTGTTATTTGGTGTAAATGTGGCAGAACATCCATAAAACTCTATGAACAGGTCATTTCATAAAATCAAAAGGATTTCAACAACAACAAAAATAAACTAATTGATCATACAGAGACATGCTTTTGGAGTAATAAACATTTTATGTCAAATGTAAAAAATAAACAAGTAACATTTCCAAAGTCCCTTAAAATAGATACAGGTCAAAGAACATCCACTTTATGTCATGAATAAATGAACAATCTACACATGCACACATCACTGAAATCCTCTGACTTCCCTTCAGACAACAATATTAAATTGTTTGATAGGCATTACTTAAAAGTTGACAGATGACCAAGAAGACACAATTTATGGATAACAACTTCTTTAATAACTGTGAAGGCAGCGTTTCAGTATAGATCCTTATACCGTTGTCAAGCAAACTTGAAATTTTAGTATTTTAAGGAACATATTTCTGTGCTGTTTCATTCAGCAAACACTGACTAAAATATATCAATACTGACATAAATGTCTGTTCATTTCTTTGATAAGTAGAGAGGCTCAGTGGTGGGGAAATAGCATATTTGTCTTGCCGGACTGGGTACATTCGATGGCTGATCAAACAGACAAACTCAGCAGATTCAGATATTTTACTCCAGTGCCACACTGTGTGAAGACCAGACAACCCTCCATAGAAGGTCGCATCAGTTGAACCGTGAGAGAACACAGACCATCAAATCTAAATGAAGGATGTGTTGCTTCCTGAGCCAATCAGATGTCAACAATTGGCTTATTTTCTTTACCACATCAGTCCAGAATTTTTATTTCAACAAAAGAAAACCCACTATGAAAACAAAAATGTTCCTTTGATTGTACTTCCCCTTTGGGTTATATGCCATGGCACTCAGAAACAAGAGGGTGTACACAACATATCCACAACAGAATGGTGTTGCCTTTATTATGTACCTTCAGAACTGTCCGTTTAAGTTCATTACGAGATACAGTCATCAGATATGCTGCTTAAAATTAGAATGTTCACCTGACAAGATCCCTTCATGCAGAGAGATATCATATCGAGGTAAAAGAACTTATCTTAATGAAATTGGACAAGACAATTTCAACACGCCTGAGTCCCCTTATTATGTCTATTGTGACCAGGGCACCATTCCACGAAGCGACCTCAGCTACTTTTCACACTTTAATGTGGAAGGATATTTTATGGTTTATCCTCCATTTTTTAGCCAAGTCAATTGTTAAGACAGTTAAAAACACTGATTATGTCTGGCTGCCATTTACCGAGGAGTAACATGGTATGGGCAAAGAGGCAGATACAAAGAGTTCAGACACTACATTACGTTAATTGTATGCATATAACACAGCTCAGTACAGAGAGACATTTGTTTCTACTTTATCTTAATGACAATATCTTCAGTTCATGATGCACACTGACTACCAAGTAAACCAAGCTTGTAGATCTGACCTGACTGACAACCGGGCGTCTTAATGATTGGCTTATAGCTGACAGGAGACATTCTTACCCATCCTACTGATACCAAGGTAAACTGAAGTAAACAACACAACTCTAGCATATGACCTGATTCCCAGCAGTCTTGATGACTAGATACTGTTTACATTTCTAATTTAGGTTTATGTACACAATGGACTTATGAATGTCATTTCTTAGTTTTAACATTTGTAACTGATTTTACAAGATTTGAGATAAAACATGATGTCAGAAAAAGCCCATCACACAATAACCTGAGAAACTAAGTTCAATGTAGTCTCCAAACACAAAGCGGTGTGAACAAGAACAGATATACAAGTCTGAAGAAGACTTCTTGACACAAATCTGAGCTATGTCCACAGCTGTGTTTAAAGGCGTCGGTCATACTCTGTACTCTGTGTACTGTGAAGAGGCTAGTGAAAGACGGGGGCCGAGGGCAGGCAGGCGGCAGAGATCAGATTACACAGTAGCTACAGGAAGACGAGTTGGGATGAGGTGCACCTAGCGTTAGGCCCTGCTTGTCAGTCTCCCACAGACCTGGTGTCTGGATGATCTACAACAGAGATTGGTATCATAGTGTAGTAACATGCCATGGTATAACATTGAAGTAACAAGCCGTGGTATCACATTGTAGTAACATGCCATGGTATAACATTGAAGTAACAAGCCGTGGTATCACATTGTAGTAACATGCCATGGTATAACATTGAAGTAACAAGCCGTGGTATCACATTGTAGTAACATGCCATGGTATAACATTGAAGTAACAAGCCATGGTATCACATTGTAGTAACATGCCATGGTATAACATTGAAGTAACAAGCCGTGGTATCACATTGTAGTAACATGCCATGGTATAACATTGAAGTAACAAGCCGTGGTATCACATTGTAGTAACATGCCATGGTATAACATTGAAGTAACAAGCCATGGTATCACATTGTAGTAACATGCCATGGTATAACATTGAAGTAACAAGCCGTGGTATCACATTATAGTAACATGCCATGGTATAACATTGAAGTAACAAGCCATGGTATCACATTGTAGTAACATGCCATGGTATAACATTGAAGTAACAAGCCGTGGTATCACATTATAGTAACATGCCATGGTATAACATTGAAGTAACAAGCCGTGGTATCACATTGTAGTAACATGCCATGGTATAACATTGAAGTAACAAGCCATGGTATCACATTGTAGTAACATGCCATGGTATAACATTGAAGTAACAAGCCGTGGTATCACATTATAGTAACATGCCATGGTATAACATTGAAGTAACAAGCCGTGGTATCACATTGTAGTAACATGCCATGGTATAACATTGAAGTAACAAGCCATGGTATCACATTGTAGTAACATGCCATGGTATAACATTGCAGTAACGAGCCGTGGTATCACATTGTTGTAACGAGCCGTGGTATCACATTGTAGTAACAAGCCATGGTATCACATTGCAGTAACAAGCCTTGGTATCACAATGTAGTAACAAGCTGTGGTATCACAATGTTGTAACAAGCCGTGGTATCACATTGCAGTAACAAGCTGTGGAATCACATTGCAGTAACAAGCCGTGGTATCACATTGCAGTAACAAGCTGTGGAATCACATTATAGTAACGAGCCGTGGTATCACATTGCAGTAACGAGCCGTGGTATCACATTGCAGTAACGAGCCGTGGTATCACATTGTAGTAACAAGCCATGGTATCACATTGCAGTAACAAGCCGTGGTATCACAATGTAGTAGCAAGCTGTGGTATCACAATGTTGTAACAAGCCGTGGTATCACATTGCAGTAACAAGCTGTGGAATCACATTGCAGTAACAAGACGTGGTATCACATTGCAGTAACAAGCTGTGGAATCACATTGTAGTAACAAGCCGTGGTATCACAATGTTGTAACAAGCTGTGGTATCACATTGTAGTAACAAGCCGTGGTAGCACAATGTAGTAACAAGCTGTGGTATCACAATGTAGTAACAAGCCGTGGTATCACATTGCAGTAACAAGCTGTGGTATCACATTGTAGTAACAAGCCATGGTATCACATTGCAGTAACAAGCTGTGGTATCACATTGTAGTAACAAGCCATGGTATCACAATGTAGTAACAAGCCGTGGTATCACAATGTAGTAACAAGCTGTGGTATCACATTGTAGTAACAAGCCATGGTATCACAATGTAGTAACAAGCCGTGGTATCACAATGTTGTAACAAGCTGTGGTATCACAATGTAGTAACAAGCAGTGGTATCACAATGTAGTAAAAAGCCGTGGTATCACAATGTAGTAACAAGCCTTGGTATCACAATGTAGTAACAAGCCGTGGTATCACATTGTAGTAACAAGCCGTGATATCACATTGCAGTAACAAGCTGTGGTATCACATTGTAGTAACAAGCTGTGGTATCATAATGTAGTAACAAGCTGTGGTATCACAATGTAGTAACAAGCTGTGGTATCACAATGTTGTAACAAGCCGTGGTATCACATTGTAGTAACAAGCCGTGGTATCACATTGCAGTAACAAGCTGTGGTATCACATTGCAGTAACAAGCTGTGGTATCACATTGTAGTAACAAGCCGTGGTATCACAATGTAGTAACAAGCTGTGGTATCACATTGTAGTAACAAGCCGTGGTATCACAATGTAGTTACAAGCCGTGGTATCACAATGTAGTAACAAGCTGTGGTATCACAATGTTGTAACAAGCCGTGGTATCACAATGTAGTAACAAGCCGTGGTATCACATTGCAGTAACAAGCTGTGGTATCACATTGCAGTAACAAGCCGTGGTATCACAATGTAGTAACAAGCGTATAGTTGACAAAGTCATCTATATCCCCCGCCCATTTTAACACGTTATGGTCCCAAACCAGGTAACTGACCCAACATTTCTCTTAGCCAATGTCAAAATAGCTGCAATGGAAATTCTAAAATAAACATTTCTAAAACTCCTTAATATCAAATGGCACTAGTTCAGTATGCGCTTTATATATAGACATGCAATGTTTGGCAAGGAAATATTTAACAGTTTATTTGTTATACTACTCAAGTAAACCAATCCTATATTAAAACTTAAATCCAACTTGTTGTCATGGAAACATAAACAATAAAAATTTCTAAAAGTGCTATATATCAAAAGGCACCAGTAGACATGCAAAGTTTTGTAAGAAAGTATTTAACGGTTTTTGAGTTACACTCTGGAAACGAACACCACCCCTGTAGAACCTAAGTCCAACTTATTGCCATGGAAACGTGAAAAATAAAATTTTCTAAAATTCCTGAATAGCAAGAGGCATCAGTCCAGTATGTGTCTGGTAAACATGCAAAGTTTTGTAAGAAATTATTTAACGGTTTTTTAGTTACGCTCCGGAAACGAACAGCACCCTTATAGAACCTAAGTCCAACTTGTTGCAATGGAAACGTAAAAAAATAAAAATTTATAAAATTCCTAAATAGCAAAAGGCATCAGTTCAGTATGTGCCTAGTAGACATGCAAAGTTTTGTAAGAAAGGATTTAATGGTTTTTGTGTTACGCTCCGGAAACGAACACCACCCTTATAGAACCTAAGTCCAACTTGTTGCCATGGAAACGTAAAAAATAAAAATTTATAAAACTCCTAAATAGCAAAAGGCACCAGTTCAGTGTGTGTCTGGTAAACATGCAAAGTTTTGTAAGAAATTATTTAACGGTTTTTGAGTTACATTCCGGAAACTAACAGCACCCTTAAAGAACCTAAGTCCAACATGTTGCCATGGAAACGTAAAAAAAAATTTTTTTATAAAATTCCTAAATAGCAAAAGGCACCAGTTCAGCATGAGTCTGATAGACATGCAAAGTTTCATAGAGAAATATTTAACGGTTTCTGAGTTATGCTCCGGTAACGATTTCGGGACGAACACACGCACGCACGCACGCACGCACGCACGCACGCACGCACACCGTGGTATCATAATGTAGTAACAAGCTGTGGTATCACAATGTTGTAACAAGCTGTAGTATCACAATGTAGTAACAAGCTGTGGTATAACATTGTAGTAACAAGCCGTGGTATCACAATGTAGTAACAAGCCGTGGTATCACAATGTAGTAACAAGCTGTGGTATCACAATGTTGTAACAAGCTGTGGTATCACAATGTAGTAACAAGTCGTGGTATCACATTGCAGTAACAAGCTGTGGTATCACAATGTAGTAACAAGCTGTGGTATCACAATGTTGTAACAAGCTGTGGTATCACAATGTAGTAACAAGTCGTGGTATCACATTGCAGTAACAAGCTGTGGTATCACAATGTAGTAACAAGCTGTGGTATCACAATGTTGTAACAAGCTGTGGTATCACAATGTAGTAACAAGTCGTGGTATCACATTGCAGTAACAAGCTGTGGTATCACAATGTTGTAACAAGCCATCGTATCATAATGTTGCATTGTAAGCAATGTGACCACCTGGCCCACATTGTGCAAGCCATGTCACCACTTGACCCACATTGTGCAGGCCATGTCACCACTTGACCCACATTGTGCAGGCCATGTCACCACTTGACCCACATTGTGCAAGCCATGTCACCACTTGACCCACATTGTGCAGGCCATGTCACCACTTGACCCACATTGTGCAGGCCATGTCACCACTTGACCCACATTGTGCAAGCCATGTCACCACTTGACCCACATTGTGCAGGCCATGTCACCACTTGACCCACATTGTGCAAGCCATGTCACCACTTGACCCACATTGTGCAGGCCATGTCACCACTTGACCCACATTGTGCAAGCCATGTCACCACTTGACCCACATTGTGCAGGCCATGTCACCACTTGACCCACATTGTGCAAGCCATGTCACCACTTGACCCACATTGTGCAAGCCATGTCACCACTTGACCCACATTGTGCAAGCCATGTCACCACTTGACCCACATTGTGCAGGCCATGTCACCACCTGACCCACATTGTGCAAGCACTGTCACCACATTGTTCAAGCCATGTCACCACCTGACCCACATTGTGCAGGCCATGTCAACACCGAAACCACATTGTGCAAGCACTGTCACCACATTGTGCAAGCACTGTCACCACATTGTGCAAGCATTGTCACCACATTGTGCAAGCCATGTCACCACCTGACCAACATTGTGCAGGCCATGTCACCACCTGACCCACATTGTGCAAGCATTGTCAACACCGAAACCACATTGTGCAAGCACTGTCACCACATTGTGCAAGCACTGTCACCACATTGTGCAAGCACTGTCACCACATTGTGCAAGCACTGTCACCACCTGACCCGCATTGTGCAGGCCATGTCACCACCCGACCCACATTGTGCAAGCATTGTCAACACCGAAACCACATTGTGCAAGCACTGTCACCACATTGTGCAAGCACTGTCACCACATTGTGCAAGCACTGTCACCACATTGTGCAAGCACTGTCACCACATTGTGCAAGCATTGTCACCACATTGTGCAAGCACTGTCACCACCTGACCCGCATTGTGCAAGCCATGTCACCACCTGACCCACATTGTGCAAGCATTGTCACCACCGAAACCACATTGTGCAAGCACTGTCACCACATTGTGCAAGCACTGTCACCACATTGTGCAAGCACTGTCACCACATTGTTCAAGCCATGTCACCACCTGACCCACATTGTGCAAGCATTGTCACCACCGAAACCACATTGTGCAAGCACTGTCACCACATTGTGCAAGCATTGTCACCACATTGTGCAAGCACTGTCACCAAATTGTGCAAGCACTGTCATCAGTTTTAAGTTTTGAACCATCTGTTCATAAATTTGTACTGTAATGTTCTGGAGATATTATTCTTACAATAATAAATATGAGGCATGAATACCATACCTTCTCCACAAGTTCTTCAAATGCACATTGTACCCCTTCTTTGGTTTTTGCACTTGCTTCAATGAATAGCATGTGGTGTTTGCGAGCAAACTTTAAGCCCTCTTCCTTGCTCACCTCCCTCCTCTCCTGAAACATGAGTCAACAATGAAAAGATAGAAGTCTCTCCTCATACTTTGAGCTCAGCATAAATGCTAGCGTTCAGGCAAAAGCCATCAAATACCAACCTTGTCAATCTTGTTCCCTACCAGCATCTTGATCATATCATGTTTAGTTGCAAAGGTCTCCAGCTCATTCAGCCATGCGTCCAGTCGACTAAAGGACTGCTTGCTACAGACGTCATACACTACACAGAGAAAAGAAATGGTTATGTTTAGATAGTTTATGTTCCGGGGACAAGGTCTGGGCCAGTTGACAGTCCAAGAAAGTTTGTCTTAAAAGGAAACAACACTTCAACTTTCAGTCCTCATAATTTAATTGCTACTGGTAAGTCAAATAACACTTGCCAAGTAAACATTTTTACATTTTGAAAGAGTGGATATTCCCTCTATATATCAAGGTAAATCATCAATCCAGAGAGCCTGCATTTGAAGCCAGAAACAACAGTCCCAATACTACAGGTATGATGTCTCACGGACCCGAGTCTTCATGGGTGTGTTACTACTGCAGGCGTGGATGCTGGTGTGCTCACCCAGTATAACTCCCTGAGCGCCCCGGTAGTAGCTTGGTGTCAGGGTCCGGAACCTCTCCTGGCCTGCTGTGTCCTGACCAACATACAAGGCAAAAATAGTGTCCATTTTCTTTTAATATGAAGCAGATGAACCAGTAGCAACAGTTGTCAGTGAGTGGACCAGCTGGAGGGAGGCATACATGGCACCCTTGTGCAACATGCATGGGGCGCCAAACATCACAGTTGAAACCCCAGACAATGATACAATAAAGATCGGGATTGCAAGGTCCCAATACACTACACCATATGTTACATGAAAACTTAACTCTTGATATTTCAGGAGACAAACTCCTTCAACAAAGGATGAATTGAGGACCCATCAAAACATATTTTGAGTCAATTAGTGCTTGAGACCCCTTGTACATTCCAGCTGAAAGTAATATTCTATAGTTAATTATGCCATTTTACATGTCAACCATACATGTATACTTGCATTGATACATAGCCTCAGAATAAGATGGATGCACCAAACATTCAATAAATGTGTAATACTGAGGACATAACCTGCCCCAGAAATCCACAGGACACAAGCGTACTGAGGACATAACCTGACCCAGAAATCCACAGGACAAGCAAGCGTACTGAGGACATAACCTGACCCAGAAATCCACAGGACACAAGCGTACTGAGGACATAACCTGACCCAGAAATCCACAGGACAAGCAAGCGTACTGAGGACATAACCTGACCCAGAAATCCACAGGACAAGCAAGCGTACTGAGGACATAACCTGACCCAGAAATCCACAGGACAAGCAAGCGTACTGAGGACATAACCTGACCCAGAAATCCACAGGACACAAGCGTACTGAGGACATAACCTGACCCAGAAATCCACAGGACAAGCAAGCGTACTGAGGACATAACCTGACCCAGAAATCCACAGGACACAAGCGTACTGAGGACATAACCTGACCCAGAAATCCACAGGACAAGCAAGCGTACTGAGGACATAACCTGACCCAGAAATCCACAGGACACAAGCGTACTGAGGACATAACCTGACCCAGAAATCCACAGGACAAGCAAGCGTACTGAGGACATAACCTGACCCAGAAATCCACAGGACAAGCAAGCGTACTGAGGACATAACCTGACCCAGAAATCCACAGGACAAGCAAGCGTACTGAGGACATAACCTGCCCCAGAAATCCACAGGACAAGCAAGCGTACTGAGGACATAACCTGCCCCAGAAATCCACAGGACAAGCAAGCGTACTGAGGACATAACCTGCCCCAGAAATCCACAGGACAAGCAAGCGTACTGAGGACATAACCTGACCCAGAAATCCACAGGACAAGCAAGCGTACTGAGGACATAACCTGACCCAGAAATCCACAGGACAAGCAAGCGTACTGAGGACATAACCTGACCCAGAAATCCACAGGACAAGCAAGCGTACTGAGGACATAACCTGACCCAGAAATCCACAGGACAAGCAAGCGTACTGAGGACATAACCTGCCCCAGAAATCCACAGGACAAGCAAGCGTACTGAGGACATAACCTGACCCAGAAATCCACAGGACAAGCAAGCGTACTGAGGACATAACCTGACCCAGAAATCCACAGGACAAGCAAGCGTACTGAGGACATAACCTGCCCCGGAAATCCACAGGACAAGCAAGGTTACCAAGGACTTACTCTGCCCAGGAAATTGACTGAACAAGCACACAGTGTTGAGACTTATTGTGCCTCAAAGGCCTGCAGAAAAGACAGACAAATAAACTGTTACCCACCCATATTGCCAACTTGGTCCTGTTTCCATCAACTGTAAGGGTCTTCACCTTGAAATCCACACCTAGAAAATATAACAAAAAGACTTCAATTCTGGATATTCTTTTCATCAAATCCACTTTATAAAGCCTACACAAACTACATAAGCAGGGCTACTACATCAGTAGTATATTTAATCAAGGGATGCTTAGATCTTGAATTTAACATTACAATAATGCCAAGGGACCCTAGAATCTAAATACAGTGTTACCTTGCTATTGCGCTCTTCAATATAGCGCTAACCCGGGAAGAGCACACAGTAAAGCATGGCTCCCAAAATTTACTATCATTTTTAATAAACTCAAGTTTTCCAATGACACGATGTTTCCCCCTATCTCAGAAACATTATCAGCTGATCACCTCGATCACGTAACAGAGGAAATACCAGTCATTGAAGTATGCAATGTAATCCTATTATCTTAATATCTCGTTAAAAAAAATATTCATAGTTTATCTGGACTAATGTTTGCAATGTATGTTATTAATTATATTCAAAATTTCATTCAATAATCAAAATAATGTTTACAATAATTTCGGTGAAAACGTATGTGAAGTGATCGGTAGATGGCACAACTCACCACTAGTTACAGCAACCACGGTCAGATTACCGCTTTTGATGAGAATGGATACCCATATCATAAATGCAATACCATGACTTATAGTCATATTTGAGGCAGTTTGATAATTATATGTCAACAAAACGTTTTCGCAATTGAAATACATGTAGCACGAGGTCCCTACGGTGACTGGTCAAATTGTTCCATACGTAAAAAGATATCCTGCATACCACCTGTACCAAAGTGCTACGCTTATGGTTCTTATAATTTTAAGTATATATATAGTGGAAGCTGCAACTAAAATAACACATTATTGGAATATATTATTCCTGATAAAATAATAATTTCAGATTCAATTAAAAAAATATTTGAAGTTGTATCTTCGGGTACTTTTTAACTGAATCACCGGTAGATTGGGAGGAAACGTGTGCACAGCTGATGGCTATTTCTGGCTTAGTTTACAAGAAAATACACACGGTAATCTTAATCTCTGCATATAAAACAATGCTTTGGAGAGCAGGAAATACATTTTAAATGGTAAATCATCATGTCTAGTGATGTTTTATATCAAATTTCATACTTTTATTGACCAAGTTTGTTATACTTGTTGATTCACTTGAATTCACTGAAGGGATACGATGAGGTTTTTTAAAGCGCATATTAATACTTGATAAAAAAATTAATAATTTCACTATTAATCATAAACAACTTCTATTCCAATCTTTTTTGAGACTCTGAAACGTGCAACATAGATGGTGTTAGGTAGGCAGAGCATGTATACTGTTTGGTTGGTCATCTACCACCTACGACTCGACCTTCGTTAAGCCGCTGATCATCTATAACGCTCATCAATTATTTGGACCCGAAGGTAGCGTTGTAGCGAGGGATCTCTGTACCGAATATCATGATACAAACGTGTTTGATGTTTAATGCTGCACTCAACAATTACTAAGATGCACGATGAAGGTGGGCTGTAAATAATTGAGTGTTGACTAGAAAATGATTGTTATTATGAGCAACGATCAGCACACTGACAGTCACCCCCTAGCTCTTATGACAAGCATAGCTTTCTAGTGACTAATTCTAACCCAGGATCCCCATGGGGGATACAAGTTTGTTTGTTTGTTTAATGCCGCACTCAGCAATATTCCAGCTATATGGTCTGTAAATCATGTCTGAACCAGACAATCCAATGATTGATATACAGAGCATCGATCCACACAATTGGGATATGATGACATGCATCAACCAAGTCACCAAGCCTGACCATCCCATCGCCTTAGTGGCCTCTTCCGACCAGCATAGTCACAAGCATATGGCAAGCATGGGTTGAGGAAAACCTATTGTAAGTTACCCCGATCTTCACGGGTGGATGACACAAGTATACAATCAGATTACACATATTAGGAATGTTTAAAATGTTAAACACTGGATAGCACAGCGAAAGGATCAAGCCAACAGTGACTGGAATATGTGGAGTTTTAGTCAAATCTAAATATCTTTAAAATTTGTATACTTATCCTGCATTACTTCTTAATGCATCTACCGCTTACCTCATGACTGAAACGGTGCCTTGCGATGGTCCTAAACTTCAGAAAAAGTTGTTTCCAATCATTGGGCAATCAAGTCTACTTCTGTCTGAGGACCAACTCGCGCCGCTGTCATGTGATCACCGGAAGTGACATCATGTCTGACTACATTTCTGCTTATCATCCGTAAAAGAAATTCTGAAGCTATAGTGGGAATCCAGGTGGGCCGTCAGACGTGGTCATGCAGGATAAATCTACAAATGTAACGACTATTCAGATTTTACTGAATGTTTTACTTATGCTACATTACTCCTTAATGCATCTGTATCAGACAGTACAGCGATGGGCATACCTTCAGATGTAATCCTCAATATGGATAAACCCTTCATATGACACATATGGGCGTGTCAAATCAGTATGCGAGTCAGGTAAGACTGGCTCCGGACAGGAGGAGTTCATTATTTGTATCGGGGGTTGGTTACCTGCTGGGATATAAAGGGCCAAAGCTACAAACGTCTTCGACGTCTTCACATCTCTTAGATAATGGCTGGTCTGTGTCTGACCTCCAAAATCATAATCTATGATTGCTCGGAAATAACATTTGCTATGTAGAGCCATGGTTGAGACAACTGCTCTGATCTCGTGAGTATTGTTCGCTCTCGGTGGATCAAGTTTTGCGCTTTCGTATGCCTGGAGGATGACTGCGCGTGATCATAGTGATATGGTGTTGCAATTGACTTTTGTCATGGACGTCGGGGACTCAGGAATAAACAACTGTTTCCTCGTACCATGCCTTGTCTTAGAGCGGCTGATAAAAAATCGTATTGCACATACAGGGCACAAGAGGAGTTCTTCCTCATCTTCAACCGTAGAGATTGGTGGAGTGGTGATGGTGGTAGATGATTCTTAGCTATACACTCCCAGAACAGCTCAAGGTGAACCGCTCCCCGCAAACCATGCTCAAAACAGACCTGGGTAATATCAAGTGCGTGTAACTCACTAAAACTCGCCGCTGTGTCTAAGGCCAAGAGAATATTGCTTTCTTGGAGAGGTTGAAGCAGGAAGTTGCTTGAATGGAGGCCATCGCAAACCTCGAAGCACCACATTCAAATGCCAAGCGGGACGGAATCTGGCCTTCTGATATTCAAGACTGACTGAGCCTAGGAGAGCCTGTAGTTCCAGAACCTTAGTCATCTTATGATTCTCCGGAATGGCCAACACTAAATTAAGAGCCACCAAGTATGTTTATTGTTTAACGCCTCATTTTTCACCTTGCAAAAGGTTTCAAGTGATCACCACTTATCATCATATAGCCCCCGGGTAGATGGACGGTGGTGCCAAGGCAATGGCCTTAGCTGCCCGAGCGAAGTAGCCCTTTAAGATGAACCAAGCATGCAGATGAAATCTGACTGGCATTGGGTGTGGTAGTTTGCTGTGAAGATGGATGAGTAGGTTCGAGCACTCTGGCAGGGGTAGTGGACTGTTTCTGCAAGATTTCTGCGATCTACAAACCACCCCCTCGCCGGCGACCAGGGCATAAATCAGAGCGAGGCTCTTGGTTGCTTTTACTTTGTGTAACATCCTGGAAAATAGTACAGGAGGCGGAAAGAACCAAACAGATGTAGTGTTAGGGTTAGCCTTAATAAGGAAAGATGTTCGACTCCATTGTCCACCAAAAGTGAGTCCTTGGGTCAGACGGTAGAGTGATGGCTACGGGTCCTGACGTTTGATTTAAGGCACCAGGAACTGTTGTATTGGGCGTAGGTGTAGGCGACCTCTGTTTGTCAAATCTTGGGCTGATGTGAGCAATCCCAACAACACTTGCCACTGGCGAAGTGTGCCAGATTGTCGCAGGGCAGGTGACAGATGGCAAAGGATCTTGAGCCATCTGTCCCATGGCACTGATAGTGATAGGTCCTGATCTGTTTGGAACAGGCCCCCTATGAACTGGAGTCGGTAAGACGGAACCATTTCCGACTTTGCCTCGTTGACCACCCATCCCAGGTGCCTGGTAAAGTCCCGATGGAGAACCAGAGTAGCCCTGTCCGAATTATTCAGGAGACAGTCGTCTATGTATGACTCGAACCGGATGTTCCTCAGGTGTAGGAAGGCAGCTACTGGCTTGGTCATTCGTGCCAATAGCCACAGGGCCACTGAAATGCCAAAGGGCAGGACCGCCCATTGGTAGTGGACCCCATTGGACTGGAACCTGAGAAAGCTGCTTTCAGAGGGATGGATAGGTTCATGCAGGAAAGCATCCTGCAGGTCGATACTGGTCCTGAGCAGTCTTAAGGTTGTGAGGCGGAAGTATGGTTGACGCTCCAGGTAGCACTCATTGAATACAGTGAAATTGTGAATCATCCGCATCTTGTCCATGTCCTTCTTGGGTACTAGAAAGATGTGAGAATAAAACCTTTTTATTAAAGATGGGACGTGTAAAATCTCAATGACTCTCTTTTCGAGCAGGATGTCTATGCAGGATCCCAGTAGCTGGTAGAGCCAAAGACAACGGTAGATCTACTGCTATGTCCAGGCGATAGCACATTTAGCATGAACACTTCTGCCAGACAGATCCAGTTCTGCCAGAACATGCCCAGTACCCCACCTACAGGGATCGTTGAAGGCATTAGTCTCGGTACAGTCCTGCTCCATGGCCCGGGATGAAGACACCAAAGCCTGACCTCAGTCTCAATGAAGGCATACCTAACATCTGGGATCTTCAACATGGTTGGCTTGGATGAGCTAGTCATCCTCTGGAGGTCCTCGTCCAAATTATGTGACTGGTCAGCCACTTCAAAGGCGTCAATAGGAAAGTCATCTTTTCTAAACTTAAGCGCCTAAAATGCTGGTGCAAGTGACAGCCTGGAGAAATCTCCATCTTGGGATCTCTAGCACTGGGGTAGATGGTGGCAGAGGTGGCTGGTACACAGGCGCTGGCACAGGATACATCTGTGTCTTATGCTGCTGCCACATGGACTGCATGAAGTTCTGCATCCAGTTGCTATCTATGAAGGGCGCCGTAGGCTGTGTGTACATGGGAGGCGCTGCAGCAAAAACAGGAGGCACCGTTGCACAGACGACAATGCAGGTGCGGAGGGGAACCCTGAAGATGTAGTAATCATAGATACACCCGGTAAGGTGTTCATCATTGCTGCAATCAGCCCCCAAAGGCATAGATAGGGTACATGTGTGCGTAGCTGGAACCATCACTGTGGAGGCAAGTGACCCAGAATAAATTATGTGTGTAAATTGAAATTGTATTGTGAACAATAGACTTGTAAACACTGATAGATAAACCAACGCTTTAATCGGAATAATAGTTTAATGTGGCACTAATGGCGAAAGGTATTTATTAAATATACAACATCATACCTAGCCAACAATTAAAAATTGTAACGACTGCCTCGATGAGACATGTACAGCAAATTCAAAAGGAAGGGAAAACAACAAGCCATGTGAGTAAAGAAGACAATGTTTTTTCCATGTGGAATAAATGTATATTATTACTAAAATACAAGCATAATAATAAGATAAAGATATACTCCACCTGTCCCAGAATAAATTTAACATGAAAGCAAGGTGCTAACCACAAATTAAAGCCAAATACTGAGGACCAAAGTAAGACACAACATGTCTGTACGATGTCAAGCAGAAATGTGGTGAGACGTGATGTCACTTCCGGAGATCATGTGACAGTTGGTTCTCAGACAGAAGTGGACTTGATTGCCCAATGATTGGCAACAACTTTTTCTTATGTTTAGGACCATCACAAGGCACTGTTTCTGTCTTAAGGTAAGTAGTAGATGCATTAAGAAGTAATGCAGGATAAGAATTTTTTTTATCCCTTTCCTGATAAATTTCAAAGATATTCTAAAAGAGTGATGCAATCAGCAATGTTCTAATTCTAGCCATATCACAGTGACTTGTAACTGGGCAAACCAGTGACTGTCAACTATCAATGTCATCGAGCCACACAATCAGCAAGCCAAATTGCAGACAGCCCACTTGATTCAACTTGGTCAGTCTGATTCTAAATGAAGACTGTGTGTACAAACAGACAAAAAGAAGAGCCTTAATATCTCATGGTCACAATAGAGAGAGAGAGAGTTGAAAGAGATAGAGAATGACAGCGAGAGAGAGCGTGTCTGTCTGCCTGCGTGCATGGTTTTCATGCCAACATTTACAAAGTTATCTCAACGATGTATGTTTATCAAAACATTCACCCTTCTGACCTGAACATGACCTACAGCTCACTACAACGGTACCATGAATCCTACTCTCTCAATCTCATTAAAATCAGATCTTAGTTCTCGCTGCCGCTAAACAAAGATCTGAGGAAATCCCATTACTGGTCACATCAGACCGACCTTTCGCGAACTCTGACCGACCAATGGAATTACTGACAAGAAGTCGACATTAGACAATCACAAGGCAGCTTTCTCGTGCTTTAAGGCACTAATTTCAAATTGGCGACTACGCTTGAAACATATTTTGACAAATTCTCGCCTAAAAACTTGAAACCTGAACAAAAGAACATTCTCGAATGGCTAATATATGGTCTAGATAGTATAGATTCAGTCGTTAAGCCCGTAACTATCGTTCGGAATACCCCGTTTTAATGTTTTCGAGGTTGCATGATTAGAAATCACATTCCGACTGTCACTTTCATGATCTGGTAAGCGACACTCTGATTGGTTGGATGAAAGGTCGTTCTGACGTGACCCCTAATGGGATGTCCTCAGATCTTTGTTTAGTGGTAGCGAAAAACTAAGATCTGATTTTATTGAGATTGCCTAATCTCTATAACTGAATGCTACTTCTGCTTGATGGAGGTTGCAAACTGTAAACTGCTCACTGCCATCAGAATCTGACCAACATACAGTCAAGTCTTGTTAATCCGACACTCGTTAATCCGACAATCGGCTTTATCCGACACTAATGATGGGAACCGATTAAATCAGTGCTATTTAGACCCGTTAATCCGATAGTCTCGCACTCCGACTCCGACACACCTAATTTGCAACGAAATACCAAAATCACTCATTAATCAGTCTCGTTAATCCGACACAGTGATCAGCGTACTCCGTGGTCATCTGCCCGCGAGTACACAGCCAGTGTTTTGATGCGAGGCGAGTCGGCTGGTAGCTGCATATTACAAAGCTGCAGCGATAAACTTGCTTAACAATAAACAATTAATGCTTTAAATAAAGAAAACAGGATAATTCACATGCTTAGATTACCTCAATCTTATTAAAATCAGATACAAGTTCTCGCTATCGACGAGGACATCCCATTACAAGTCACGTCAGAACAACCTTTCACGAACTATGACCTACCAATGAAATGACCAACAGGAAGTCGACGTTAGCCACTTAGAAAGCAGCTTTCTTAAGCTTTGGGTACCAGTTTCAAAGTTGCGACTTCCATTCCAGACTATGCTTTTTAAAGTATTTTGAATCTGTCAAACAGTCCGTAACAGTTGTTTTGTGTTAAACTTTAGAGGTTGAATGATTAGAAAACATATTCCGCCAACAATTTAACATAACAATATGAATATATATTTTATATTTTTTATTGAATCCTTATCTATCGTGTAGTTGTCCGATTTTCGATCACGAACGTTGATACTACTAAATTTCGTTTATCCGACATACTCGTTAATCCGACACAATCATATGCAACCATCGATGTCGGATTAACGGGACTTGACTGTATCACTATTTAATGTCAAAAGAATTTTCTAGGAATACATACATTACTTTTTTATCGATTTAAATAGTATGATCGCTTAACTGAATTTCAGGTTTACAAACAATCGTTAAACAGATCATGTGATTGACTGGTGCACCACTAACATGCAAAACTGCTGTGTCCAACAAAATCCACACAAATATACATATGACACACTCAAAAATAAATGCAGTACACACCAGAGCTCCAGGTAACTTTGGAGCAATTGAGCTTTTACTCTAGGGTTTCTATTTTAATTGGGTTATTACATTTTTCATTGGGTAACCAATATTTTTTCACTCATCTATTTATCACTCTATTTGGTTTTTCCCCAAAACAGTGTACATTTTAAGATTTAAAAAAAAATGAAATAATGTTTTAGGTGTATACTGTTCCAAATACCTAGGCTTTACTCGGAAAGTAAATTATCTCGTAATTGTGTTTCGGAAATTAGCTCCTTTGTACGCATGCTGAGAAAGCTTCATTTGGTATTTACGCGCGCTGTTTTTATACATTTTAGTTTTCATTTAATGGATGCGTTTCTGTACGCAAGTTAATTGAAAGTAATTGGATTTTGAATATTTGTTGGGGTTATTTTACACAAATAGGCTGCTTATCTACAGCTCTGCACACACAAAATATTCATGACACACCCTAATATACACAATGGATGCAGAACAACATATGATGGGTCCTGAGGGCCACATGATACTATTAACTGTACCTATAGCGCATCTGTTACTTTATACATCAATCATGTCTTCTGTCCACACGGTCATTGATTAATATCAGGCTCTAAAGTTATTATCAAAATGTACAATACACTACACCATCCTTACTTTACAGGACCCTCACATTGCCTGCAAGGAGCCTAACATTCATTATTGGGGGGCCCCCAGACCCCCAGTTTTGTAAGTCAAGGTAAAGCCCTATAGACATGATAGAAGCATAAATTATACATGACACACTCAAATATACACATAAAACACAAAATTCATCCAAATAATATACACACATAATACACAGTATCTAGCATGTCTAAACAATGAAAACATCATGCATGCAACATATACAAACTCCACACACACACACACACACACACACACACTAACACACACACACTAACACACACACTAACACTAACACTAACACACACACACACACACACTAACACTAACACTAACACACACACTAACACTAACACACACACTATCTGCACACCTACCAATTGTGGCTGCTTGTTCCGGGTCAAAGGTATCATCTGTGAAGCGCAGCAGCAGACTGAAGGAAAAATACAGATGTCATCCAACTGTTCTTTTCAAAAACTAATAGAAACAAAACAAATTTTAGAGACTTGAGTTCAATGCCACTTGACCACATTTTCAGTTATATTGTGGCATTTCAACTTAAAAGAGTATGAAGGCTCAAGTGATGCAGGCGTTAGACATTTTAACACTCCAGCAAAACCCATGAGCACTAGTACAGGGATGTGAGCAGGTTTTCCCGAAAAAAGAGGAAAAGTCTAGGGGGGTCTGGGGGCATGCCCCCCCAGAAATCTTTTAAACATCTGATTGCATTTTAAGCAATTTCGTGCAGTTTGGACAATTCACACCACGAAATGTAAAAAGTCAATGGCAAAAGTCAATAAGTCAAATAAACAAGATGGCAGATGCAGTAAAATTTCGAAGTTAAATCAGTACTTTTAAAAAATCGGGCATAGCTTTCGCGCACCTCGCTACCCGCCAGGTCTGGGATCAATACTGCCATAAACTTCAACCCCCATCCCCCAGACACAAGGACAACTGTCACAAGCGTGCAATGTCTGACCCTTTCCCCATGTTGAAGCATATTGAAAAAAACTTACCTTGTACTTACTTACCTTAAAAAACAAAACTCCATTGCAAACATAAGACATTAATACAACATATATCCCCATGTTATTGGTTTTTGGACGCTGAAGAAACATTCATAGTTTCTCGCTAATCACATGAACAACTGTAAAACATATCATTCACCTACAGGCTAAAAGACAACTTTGTCTAAAAACTAGCAATCATCTGACTCTGAGTATTTACAATTTGTGTGTGATGCCACACCCCACGTTATAGTGCAAGTATTCGTGATAGAAAACGTATGATGTCCGAAAACCTATGCTGCTGAAAGCTCTGATCGAAAATAGGACAATTCGCGACGGTTGTCCGGTTTTCGATCATATTTTTCGGAGTGTTTTTTTTTAATCTTTGATTATATTTTTACGCGGAAGATGATTTTTTCCGAGGACTACTGTTTTAAAAAACGCGATTTTCCACGTTTCCGCGGAGATTTCACATCCCTGCTAGTAAACTATGAACACATCAGGAAATGTTTTTTGTTTGTTTGTTGTTTAACGCTACACTCAGCAATATTCCAGCTTTATGCAGCACTCTCTAAATAATCAGGTCTGGACCAGACAATCCAGTGACTGACATCTTGGGCATCGATCTATACAATTGGGATACAATGTCATGCATCAATCAAGTCAACGAGCCTGACCACCTGATCCTGTAGTTGCCTCTTATAACCAGCATAGTCGCCTCTTATGACCAGGTGACAAGCACTGGTTGCTGAAAATTTATTCTAACCTGGATCTTCATGGATCAAATCAGGGAATGTATTCAACTGAGTCTGGGATTCGAACCCACTGTCAAAGGTTTCTGGCACAACTAAGAGACATAACAATGCACAGTGAATTGCGTGAACGTTGAGACCGGGCTGCCAGTGCCCTTCCATCTAATATAATAATGACTGTATCAATACAGGCTCACGTTATTCCATTATTTTTGCTGACATATCTTTAGTGTAAGTATCCATTCATGACAACTCGACAATAACATACAGAGAAACCATGTTACCCAAAGTCTTTGGAACAATCAAATATGTGTTCACAGATTGGGACAAGCCAAGTGCTCATATTAGACCAAGCTGTATCAGGCCCTCCTACATATTTGAATAAAATGAATTAAATGGGTTTATAATGAAAGGGTATTGGTAGTATAGCTTCAGTATTCCACCTGAATGCATTTATCATGCGAACAAAAAGAAACATTAGATTTGACAGCGGTCGTTAGCAGAATATGTGCACAGTTGCTATGGGAAACTTGGTCAAATGCAGTGGAATAACTTTGGCTGTATCCATCAAGAGCCAATCATAGTTAATTGACAACACCTTTTCTAGAAAAACAGCGTGGGAATAATGGCGGCGATACTCAAATAAGCGACAAGCAAGTCATTTCTTTTGGACTCAAAGGCTTCACTATGCATGATGGAGCATAAAATGAATGGCATTGAGCATTCATATGCAGCAGAACTTGCTATCTAAAGTGGGAGACACATTTTCTTGTATCAGATATTGCAATTAAATGGGCAGTAGACAGGTATGGTCTCAGAACACGTTGAAGGTGTCTGACATCTCTCCCATCAATCCACCAGATCCCAGCATTGAGATTATTTAATATTGAATGTCTCATAGCCAAGATTACAAATGGTTATATAAGCAGTCTGATTAAAATCAGATCTTCATACTTGCTACACAAAGATATGAGAACATCTCGTTACACCTTGAAAAGTATTTTGACAAAGTTCTCAATTCAAAATTTGAAAAGTGAACAAAAGAAAGCTCTGGAATGTTTAGTTGATTGCAACGTTTTATGGCAGTACTTCCCATGGGGTACGGAAAGGCACATTCACTGACTGTTTTTCTTATTTTTCAATATAAATGGGTTTCGTATGTATTCAATTTGACAGGCTATTTACTGTCGCCTGACCCTGAAGAACAAACCGTAGTTAACCTGTAAGTAGTGTTTAAGAAATAACCAACGAAGTAACACACCATATTCATCACAAATACGTGTATGAAAGGGGCTTGTATATCGTAGTGAGGATGACATGCAGGAGGGGAAACAGGCCCCATAACCCCCTTTCCGTGTTGATGCGCAAAAACAGCTGTAACTGGCCAAGTTGGCAAAATCAAAACAAAAGGTTTCACCTTGACTTTCCAACTCCGCTTTCACCTATAATCAGTATCTTTAAGGTTGTGAGGATTTCTTGCTCGTCCATTAGTGCAACGCGCTATCAACCGTACAGGTTACTTGTGTAGATGGTCCTAAAATTAAAGAATGTTCTTCTTATAATAACAGATCCACAACTCAAGAAAATGGCGTAAACAATACCACGTGTGCAATTTGTCATCAGTTTTGTGGTTCTCATATGTTACGCTCATTTTCATTGGCTGATATTTGAGGTACTAATACGAAAGATGTAAATTGAGACTAGGCTTGTTGCAAACTCCACACAGAGACATAAAAATGCACAATGGTATCTAGAGTTTCTAATTATTTTCATGGTGGAGGTGGTAGCCTGTCATGGTGTCAGCCCGATCTGTCGACACATGAAAAATATGTTGTTGCTAACCGTCGACATGGTGTGGTCACTTAACCGTGACAGTGTAATTAACTGATGAGAATGCTTTCTTAGTGATTACTGATGGCTACTGTTCGTAAAATGAGTAAAGGGATTAAGTTAAAGAATATTTTTCTTAAATAATTGTTAAGAAAAGTAAGACTATATTTGACTTATGTGAGTAGGAAAATTAATCTTTTGATGCAGACATCAATCTGGAGAATCAGTGGGCCACGACTGAAGCTGGAGATGACTTTCTGCACCGTTTAGATGCTGGAAACATTTTGCTGTTCTTCACAAGCCAGAATCTGGAGCTTCTCTGTGCAGCAGATGTCATCTTTGCAGATGGTACATTTTCGTCTTCACCTCGACTTTTTAACCAAATCTACTCGATCCATGCTGAATTCCGAGGACACATGCTGCCCTTGATATATGGACTCTTCTCAAACAGAACAGAAGCGACCTACACAAGTGTGTTTGACTACCTGAAACAGACTGCAGAGACTCGAGCACTTCAACTTTCTCCCGATGTGTTCCAGTTGGACTTTGAACGTGCGTCTCACAATGCAGCTGGTGTTGTGTTTCCAAATGCTCAGGTTCGTGGGTACTGCCGATAGACTTACCGAGTTAAACTACACAGACCATGTGTCAGAGCTGCTGCATCTTGGACTGTCGACACATATTTGGACTGATTATTTTGCTATTGTCGACAGTCCGGGCATGATCCCCTGTCATACAGACCACGAAACAAATATATCCAAACAGCCCATGCATGTCAATAGTAGTGGGACAATCTAGATTACTGTAGTTTCAAAGTAAAGAGAGACTCTGGGCTCCATTCTATTATAGTTTTTTTTAAGATAATTTAACAGTTGTTTTTTCTATAAAATATGTTCACTGCAGAGACTAGATGTTAGTCTTGTGGGGTGTACGCTGTCTCGAATGTTTAAATGAAAGTAACTCATTTTTATTATTTGCACACATCCACTCAAGTTGGAATCAAAACATGGAGTCGCTAGCAACAACGAAGAGCGAATGTATGATGAAATCACACTAGACCAAGTAATATGGAGGCTTAAGTTGTGTAAGGATAGCCCGAATAATGGACTGGGACATTATGTATGTTTAAGCAAATATGTTTTAACTTTCACGTCTTTGTTTTATCACTTCTCTTTGCAATTTAGAGATGTAGAATAATGGTGCCAGTAAGCACAGTACCCCGTCAACAAACCGTTTGGCCATCCAGACAGGGTTTGGCCATCCAGACAGGGTTTGGCCATCCAGACAGGGTTTGGATAGATAATTAGCTGTCTTCGAAAATCGACATCCTCAGCCGAGAAAGAATCCCACGTGTCGGTACAGCTATGAATGTTGTTGTTGTTTGTTTGTTGTTAAACGCTGCGCTCAGCTATATTCCAGCTATATGACGTATTGGGATACAATGACATGCCTCAAACATGTCTGTCAGCCTTACCAGCCGACCCCCTTAGTCGCCTCCCCGTAGACGATGTAGATGGGCACGAAGATGAACGCAATTCTGTTTGTTTATGAACCGATATATGTATGTGTGTATTTGTGTGTGACTTGTACATCATAATAATATTTGCAACAGTAGGTACAATTAATCTAAACTTATTATTTTATGTACAGTTTACTCTCATTAATTGTTAAATGGCCTTTGTAGGGAGAGGTGTTTAAATAGGTTGAACCTGTTCACCAATCCCATTCCCTTTTCTTAGATATAAACATTGTTTAAATCTTAACGCAATTGCCGAACAATCGCATCCAAAAGTGGGAGAGATATGACAGTCGGTATTGGAGAAAAGATGCTCATCGGATGTCTATATTTGTAAATACCCCTGATGGTTATAGTTCAATAATAATAAAAAAAAAGTATCCTTGCAGTGAGAGCATTATCTGATTTCGTGGATAATACGATTAGTACTCCCTTGTCATCTACGTTTTTTGGTATAACCCTACACTTGTGTATTTCTCGTCATTCACTCGATTCTCAGTTAATGAATTTCTTACAGGTATAATTATTGGCGTTTCTTGTGTCTGGGGTAATTATTCAGTCTAAATCCAGGTTGAAGTGAGGGGAATTGTGTGTTATGTAATGTGCACGTGGCAGCCCAGCAAGAGATGAATGATCAGTTGATTTACTTTTTTCGTAAGTTGATTGATTAATCATTGCTATTTTGCACAAATCTCAAAAGTAAGTGTTTACATGTCTAGGTTTACTAAAGCAAAGGGAATACACTCTTATCATGGCGTAAGATGACGATGTAAAAACAACATACTTTGTTCAAAGGGTCAACCGATCGCGATATTACCTTGATTGATTGCTCATTGTTATCTAACTCAGTGAATTTATTTTAAGAACCGTGGACATTATGAAAATAGTTGTCACGTGGGCTGTCTCAGCTGACCTTTGAGACTTGACACCTATATGAAACACCTGAAACAAACTAAGTGATCAGTTGAGAAACGAACAAGGGTTATAATACCCCGAAAAGCTACATATATTTTAATATATTTGATTGTTACAGAGACACGTGGCATCGAATAAGTTTATTTGTACAGCTGCAGACGTGTGGGATATTGTTATCTTAATATGTGGATATTCACGGATACATCCCTCGAACAAGGAAGCTCCCTAAAATTATACATATAACTTTGGTAGATTGTTATAATGATGTTTGCATTCTGTTTTATTTCATTTGCTGTATTTCAGATTCATTCTTGTCACTCTATGTCTTGGTTGGGAAATTCTTTGATGCGCGATAGACGTTGTTTTCACAAGTCTTTTCCTTTGTAAGCGTGTATATATTACAGGCAATTTATAAAATGTCTAAATATTTCAGTCATTTTGACTGAATAATCTGTCCATTTATTTAACACATTGACTAAAAATGATTTAGACGGTCAAAAGGGCTTAGAACATCACAATAGATCATTATGCTAGGAATAGAAGCCAAACAAGTTAGAAATGTACTTTTAATCCAAACATTTTCAGTCTCTTGGTGATGATATTAAACATAAAAATGTTTGGAATTCGTTATCATAATAATACAGATGGACATATTTTTCAGTCAATTTGTTAATATTCAGGCGTTGAATAAGTTTCCTAAGTGAAAATTTTGCACATTTGACTGTAAAAATATGAACACGATAAATTTGAAATTTACTTTGTGTCGCAAGTCAAAATAGTGTAAACGAAAATCGCACAATTACCAAGCAAGTGACTTATCAAAACTTCGTCACCATCACCGATGCTACCCACAAAGATACCTACATTTCCTTATTATTTCCCAAACTGTATTTCATTTTGTTGATCAATGTGACCATACGCCCTTACATTATCAATAAAATGAATACGAATGGCGCAGCACAGGTCGCGAACTAGTCTAGATTTCTGCTATATCACCCGGGTACTCACGGGGAAAAAACAATAATAAAGGCAAAAACCAGTCCCGGGAAATTGCTCTAGATCAGTGCCCCTTTAAGCAGATAACACTATGCTTTGTTTGGGGGAATACATCTTTATACGTAAACGTTCAGAGTTTACTTTCATTTGCGATTGAATTTTCCTTAATCTTAAGGTGTTTCGTCGAGCATACAGTTCTCCCTGGTTATAATGCCATATTTGTCTCAGAATGGAATTTTGCAGTTGACAAACTACCTGCTTATAACGCCACCCTGGTTATAACGTCACCCTGCTTATACTGCCTCCCTGGTTATACTGTCACCCTGGTTATACTGCCACCCTGGTTATAACGTCACCCTGCTTACAATGCCACCCTGGTTATAACGTCACCCTGCTTATACTGCCACCCTGGTTATAACGTCACCCTGGTTGTACTGCCACCCTGCTTATAACGTCACCCTGCTTACAATTCCACCCTGGTTATAACGTCACCCTGCTTACAATGCCACCCTGGTTATAACGTCACCCTGCTTATACTGCCTCCCTGGTTATAATGTCACCCTGGTTATAACGTCATCCTGGTTATAACGCCATCATGGTTATAACGTCACCCTGCTTATACTGCCTCCCTGGTTATAATTTCACCCTGGCTATAACGTCACCCTGCTTATAACGCCACCCTGGTTATAACGTCACCCTGGTTATACTGCCACCCTGCTTATAATGTCACCCTGGTTATAACGTCACCTGCTTATAATGCCACCCTGGTTATACTGTCACCCTGGTTACAATGCCACCCTGGTTATAATGCCACCCTGGTTATAATGTCACCCTGGTTATACTGCCACCCTGGTTACAATGCCACCCTGGTTATAATGCCACCCTGGTTATACTGTTACCCTGGTTATAATGCCACCCTGGTTACAATGCCACCCTGGTTATAATGCCACCCTGGTTATAATGTCACCCTGGTTATACTGCCACCCTGGTTACAATGCCACCCTGGTTATAATGCCACCCTGGTTATACTGTTACCCTGGTTATAATGCCACCCTGGTTCTTATGCCACCACTGGTTATACTGCCACCCTGGTTACAATGTCACCCTGGTTATACTGACACCCTGGTTATACTGACACCCTGGTTATACTGCCACCCTGGTCATAATGCCACCCTGGTTACAATGTCACCCTGGTTATACTGACACCCTGGTTATACTGACACCCTGGTTATACTGCCACCCTGGTTACAATGTCACCCTGGTTATACTGACACCCTGGTTATACTGCCACCCTGGTTACAATGTCACCCTGGTTATACTGACACCCTGGTTATACTGTCACCCTGGTTATACTGCCACCCTGGT